CAGGAAAAGTTCCTTTGTGAGCTGGAAACCATTGTTCGGAAACAGTCCTCAGTCACCATCACAATTGATGAGCAGTGGCTGTCGGAGCGAGATATGAAGGATCTTGGATGGTCTCAGACCCTGGGTCTGAAGTTGTTTGAACAATTCCATGAGCATGTTAGCAAGCACAGGGTTGCGTCCGTGTCGTGTTGCTTTTTCACTGCACTTTATCTCAGGGCAAGGATCAATGGAGCAAAAGCTGCCTGTGAGAAGAAGAGGGATACTCATGTTAGGAGCTATAGTCTTTTGGTATTTCAATTCAACTGCGATGCACTGTGTAAGTATATACATGTTCTTTGTGATGATCACTGCGCCATGACTGAGAAATATATAGGAAGAATGCCTATGATGACGTAACGGAGTACTATGTGGTGGTCTCTGAGAAAGTTCAGCGCGAAGAGCGCATGAGCCAAGAAGAGATCAAACGATCAACACAGAAGGCCCAATATAGTTCAATCGACTTATGATGTTTATTTCATGTTCTTTGAGACATGTTCTTTTTGTTCCTTTTTTCCAATCCGGCCTCCTTGTCCCAGGTGGATCCAGCTGATGCTCCAAAGGTTGATCCCAATGCCTTTCAACGACTCGCGGATTTGGAGTTGCGGGACCAAGTGAATCGGTCCACCCCAGAGGTGAAATCCCCATCGCAAGCACAGGAGGCATGTGATGATGTCAAACAGCTAAACTACACTGGTCATCCTTTTCCAAACATATACTTTACATTCACATGTCTTTAGTTGCGTGCCCTGCTGAGACGAAAGCGTGTCTGAAGAAGTTCTGCGAATCGATGCTACAGAAATCGGGTAAGATCAGGCAGTTGATCAGGGAACTCAAGGAAGAATACTCTGCATCTGCACAGCTTCAGTCGTTCTGTCCTCAAAGAATCCTACAAAAATAATGCTCTCTTGCAACCAGACCTTCCCTTTTATATATATTAAAAAACGACCCCCAAGGCAAGCCGCCTTGTTGGACAAGGAGCTGGCCAAGATGGACGGGGAATATGACAAGTGCCAGCAGATACTTTGCCAAGGGGAGCTCAACGGTTACAATGAGAAGCACCTTTGAGCAATTTCTTTAACCGTTTCACCAGTAAACCCGTGCCAAACCTCAATGTACCCCAGGTTTGTGAAGGAGGCCACTGAGAAGATGAAGACAGCAACTTACGTGTCCTCCCCTTAACTTCTGCATGGCGTGAGAAATGTTGTTCTTCACGCACGGTCTTAATATCATGAACCCCCGAACTCTCAGGTGCAGTGCCGCCTGTGCCGCAGAGCTGAAAGCGAAGTTGGGCCTCAGTGCATACTCAGACCAACGTGACAAGTATACATTCACATACTCCAACTTGAGTGGTCAGCCTACGTACTCTCACCCGTGCGCAGGAATGTCAAGAAGTATGAGAAGAAGGACAATCACACGAAGGGTCGCGATGCCAACAAGAAGGACAATCACACGAAGGGTGATGATACCAACAAGAAGCGCAAACATGAGGGCTCAGCAAAAGATGAGGCAAATGCCAAGGTACCTATAAGGTCCCTAAGGCAAAAGCCAAAGTGGCCAAATAGTTTTAATCATATGTGGGGTCTTGATTGCAACATCAATCGACTCATTGTAGATCTCTATTTAGCGGGAAGCCTGCAACACTGGCAGGGTAGAACCTGCACTTGCACATGGAGATATACCCGACTGTGCGTTGGAACCTTCCCGGTTCTGTCAAAAAAAACTTTTCTCCATGTTTGACTGATCGTCCAACATAATTGTTTTGGTTCGGGGAGGTCTAAGTGCGCAGCAATCTTTTGCATAAATGCTCGGCTGGACTCGGGGTTGCCGGTGAAAGAGAAGCAAGTCATCTTTTGTTTGGAGGTCATTTAGTGTCCCCATATCGATGACTCGTCGATGACCACTTGTACCAAATCTCAGCCAGGTGCTGGAACGGCGCTCCGCAGCATAGCTGGTGATGTTGGCCAAGGGGCTGGGGTCCTCAGTCCACGTGAGTTTCATGAAGGTGCATGTATAAACAGGAATCGCTTGCTCATCAAGCAGGCCCTTGAGCATGCAATCACGTGTTCATAAATCAATCTGTATACATCATTATCTGCTTGAGGCCTTCTTGGATCTCTTTACTTTTTGTTTTTATGATTTATATATATAAGCATGTGCCTGTTTCTCTCCCATCTGGCCTTCCACCGATCATCAAATTGGCGACCATGGGCAGCGCGGCGTTCTAGATTCTGTAAGCTGTTCAGCAGTGGCGTCCAACATAGTTCTCCGTTATTATACATTGCCTTTTTGCAAGTGGTGATGGAACCAAAAACTTTGCTTGGGTTATCAGCTTCATGTTGGAGCCCTTACCATTGTTCTCTTTTCATCATGGCGCACCGTCTTTGCAGCCAGATTTGCAAGTCCGCTCATGAACACAAAACTCTGAAATGTGTCCAATGCCCCAAGAAGAGTCGTGACAACATGGATGTCCAAACAGAGTTTTCATCAGCCTGCAGGTTTCTACATGTTGTGCGGTTTGGTGCCCTCACCTCTGCTGAAATCAATTTTGGAGGGTGTCCCAATACAAGGGCTTCCAACATTTTAATCAAGGCTGAGTTGGCCACACCAAAAAAACATCAGAGTTTATAGATAGCCACACCACCGGCTGTTCCCAACACTTCGCAGCTGACCACTGCTGAGGTTGCATCTTACAGGGCTTCTATTCGCACAGCCCGTGGGGTGGTGCAGGACTTGGGTGAAAAGGCGTGTGCTGCATCAGGAGGCCTTGTTGAGCTGAGCCGGGTCCGTGAAGACCACTCAGAAAGAGATGGCCACAGAATTTTGACTGAACACAAACTTGCCCTACCAATCCCGATCAGCCCTCTTCAGAAGACTCCTGGCACACGGTATTCGGGTGAGATTGGTTTTTTGCGATTGCGTGACTGGTTGCAGTTTATGGCTGACTACAACTGTCTCCATATCCTTGTTGGCCTAGAGAGGCCTGACCGAAGCAGAGAAAAGGCTATTTTGGGAGAGTTTTGGAGACTATATAGACAGCTTCACCCAAGTCATGAACTTTGGCACCTGTGTGATACAGGTGTCATTGCAGACCTTACGGGATGTTACCCCATGCTGCTCCATGGCGACGAAGGTCGTGGCAAGAAGCGATCTCCCTTTCTGGTCCTCGCTTGGCACTCTTACATTGGAAAAGGCACCCATCTATCCAACGAGCTTCGAAAAAAGAAGACATACTTGCAAATGCGCCTGAACTACGCTGGCAATACACACACCCACCGTTTCATTACTGGTGCTTTGCCCAAGATGACGAAAGACAATGTTGCTTATCAAGACCTGATGCGAGCAATAAGTGAGGACATCTGCGACCTGACGCACAAAGGCATCACAGACTCAGAGGGAAACCGCTTCTATGCAGTGTGTCTTCAGGTGGTTGGAGACTGGCAGTTTTTGGCAAAGTGCGGCAATTTAAGCCGCAGCTTCGCCAACGTCGAGAAGCGGCCTCGTGGAGTTTCTTCTGTTTGTCGTGGCATTTGCCACCTTTGCAAAGCTGGCCAGCAGGATGTGCCCTTTGAGGATTTCAGGCCTGGTGATGTTCCAAAGTGGAAGCAAACTCTTTTTACAGAGCCTGGTTGGGACAGGGACAAGGTGCCAGCCATGGCTTGCATTCCACATATATTGCATTGTCCTGAGGCAATATTTGCATATGACATGTGGCATTGCTACCATCTTGGTGTAGCCAAGACATTCTTGGCGGGTGTCCTGGCGTTGATGAGCGACTGCATGATAGGATCAAGTATAGATTTGCGGTTCGAGGTGCTCTCGAACCAATTCTTGGATTGGGCAGACGCGCAACATCAGACTTCACACCTGCAGGGTATTACCAAGGAGACCATCGGCTGGCCCGATCGCAGCACTTATGCCAATGGGCAATGGTCTAAGGGCCACATTTCGACTTGCCTGGGCAAATTTGTCAAGCATTGGTTGGAAACAGAAGACCTTGCAGGGCAGCCACTCTTGCAAAAGAGCTTTGAGGCCATCGAGTGCATTGATGCTTGCATTGACGAGCTTTATGGGTCGGACCTCTGGTTGAAGTCGGAGAGAGCGTTGAGCATTGGTTTGCAGGGGGAGCGTTTTCTTCATTGCTACATGAATCTGGCAACCATGTGCTTCAACCAAGGCATTTTCCTTTTCCCATATATGCCCAAGGCCCACCCTTTAGCCCATGTGTTTGCAGAGCTCATCAGCCATGGCCGAAATCCTGCTTTGAAGTGCTGCATAAACCCTCTTGCTCACGCCGTCCAGGTGGACGAAGATTTCATCGGACGTCAAAGCAGAGTTGCTCGCAGGGTGGGGCCATCACAAGTTGTGCAGCGAGTTTTACAACGTGCCCTTCTCGCTGCGCATTATCATTGGTCGAAGTGTGGGTACATTGTAAGCTGAATTGTGGTCGTGAACCGTTGAAGTTATTGGAAAACAAGAGTGTCTTGGTTTGGGCGGGGCCTGGTGGTGTCTTGAGAAATCTACTAAAATGGAAACACTGTGTTTTCTGGGAGAACATTGTGTATTTTCAAGATCTTATCTTTTCCTCGACTCCAGGCTCTCCTGGTAGTGACATGTGCTAGTGAATCAAACCAGAACTGAGTATAGAGAAAAGATAACGCAACATAAAGAAAAGAAGGTCTCCCAGGACCAATGGGCTTGTGCCCCTTGAGATGAGCAGAGTTCTAATCACGTGTGGCGTTTCATGTAGTTCACTCAGGTTCACTCAAATCCATATAGTTCACTCGTGGGCACTAGCATTTCACAGGGAATGAGATGGAAGTGACCAATCTCTTTCTCATTTACTGTAGGCGTTTTTGCGACCCTTGCGTCGAGAATCTCATTCTTAAGCGCGAATACTGTATCGGGTTTGTGAAAGAAAGGCCTACGCGAGGGTTCTTGAGCAGGGTGGCCGGGGCGGCGAGGCCGAAGTAGAACTGGCAATCTTGAAACAACGGCGGCAAGCCCTGGAGGCCAGGCCTGGGACCCTTGAGGTCGGCTTGTTGAGTGGGTGCAAGGATAGTAACTGAGCGGTTGGGTACCGGATGGTGGGGCATGAATGTCGTCGTCGTCGTTGTGTTTTTTTGTTTTAATGGTTTTTTGGCTGCAACATGTATGCTTATGAACTATTTTGCAGTTGACTCCAATTCTGTAGAAGTTAGACATATCATATATATATATATATATTATAATCATGATATATCAACCATGGCATATCTTCCAACAAGGTTGTTCAGGTTGGTGTGTGTGTGTGTGTGTGTCAACTTGCTGTTTGGATGCAAAGCTGGACTTGCGACTGCAGTAACATTTGAAGCCATTGTCCTAGCTGCACTCCATCAAAAAGATATATGTTATGAGAAATTTTTGCTTTGGAAGATTGATTTTGGCATGTAGTGACTTAGGTAAAGGCCACACCCAGCAACGGAACACCCCGGAAAAGTTAAATCGATTTCGAGCGCCCAGTAGGGTCCACATGGGCGCCCATTTGGGTCTTCCACCCGCCACACGGGGAGAGCGGAGGTCGAAGCTGTTCGGCCTTGAGTCGTGAAAGGGCACCATTCGTCGAGCAGGGTGGAGTCCAATGCTTGAGAGAGCCCAGACACACCGAACAGCCCTTTTACAGGCCGAAGACGTGGGACGAGGGGAGGAGGTGGGACGACTGGTCCAGTTCTCCAGCGGCCCGCGAGCTGGGCTCCAAAACGCGACCGTGCGAGGGAAGGTCCGATCTCCCACGAAGGGAAGGACCGATGCACGAGCCGCCAGAGCCGCCAGGAAGAGCTCGCGATGGCCCGATCACTGGAGGTGGGAGCTGCGCTCGATGCGGGTCTCCGCGCCATGTGGAAAATCGTGACGAGAGAGAGAGAGAGAGAGCGAGAGCGAGAGCGAGAGAAATGCACAAGAACAAGCATGAACAAACACCCTTTGCATCCGAAATTCCGAACAGAAGCTACAGCGTTAATTTAATATGCAGAACGTATAAAATGCACGACTGCATGCTGATCTTTGCCATTTGTTACTTTCTTTAGGCTTAGGCACACCGAACGTACCCCACTCCAGAGACCATGAGAGTTCTCCGATTCTCAGTCAGCCAAGATGCTGTCCTATTCCTTTCGCTTCCTTCACCCCTTCAGACAGTCAGACGTTCATGGATTCATGGCCCTATAAATAGATAGGGCAGATAGGGGCTCCGCTAAAGCTTGAGGGCTTCTCGAGAGAGATTCTCCATGCAGATTGGGCCTCCGGTAGGTGTGCTCTTCTGGCCGTGCCAGGCCTGTGATGAGGCATCCTTGCGATGCAGGGTGCAGAAGCTCGAGGCGTGCGGTGTTTTCTCGCTGGAAGCACTGACCATCCATGTGGATCTTGGTTTGGGGGATTGTAGCCAGAAGGATTCGTAGATGTTCTGAGTAGTATTCTGAGTGCTCCGGACGTTTGCTGAAGAAGACGGCTTATAGGGGTTACAGGGTGGCATTTTCACGGTCTAGGTTAGTTTGCAGGGGGGTAAAAGGTGGGATTGCGTTCAGACACTCCGAAGATGGGTCTTAACACATGCGAAGATTGGTTGTGTGTTGGTGAAAACCAGAGGCTTTAGACATGGGAATGGCTCGAAGAATTTTGTACCACCCAAATTTACCAAAGGGCTCATTAAAGTCTGAAGATTGCATGCCCCTGAGCCAGTACAAACACTGTCGATACAGCTAGAACCGGCCAGGGAAGCTAATTACTGGAAAAAAAGACACCAAAACACTGTCATGCAGAATGCTTGCAGTGAGCATTTCAATGTTTGTTTCCTGGGGGGCGGGGTGTATACAACAATGATCTAGCATGAACATAGCCTGACTAAACACAGAAAACATAAGAAAACACATTCCGATTCCCTATTGGGTGTTAACAAACGTACCACGGCGTTCTTTAAGCTATTTTCTTTTGGGTCCTTCAGGGTGGCATGACCGGTCCAAAATCAAAGCGGCTTGAGGCTGATTTGTCCTGGGCCTGGGCGTGGTGTATTGGAATCAAATTTTCAGAGAGTGTAGATAGCACAAGGCATCAGTCAGTGTTTTAGATGGGGGGTGCATACAATAAAACCATCATCTACCGTGAGGGGGGGGGGTCGTGCCATTTACTCTTTTTGAACCCCTCCCCTGATCCAAACCACCATATATACCACCTCTTGGGCAGTTTCGTGCCTACTGTTGAATCAACTACGAAGTTCCCAAACCAATGACTTGCCCTTGTCTCATCTCGCCGCATTCTTCACCCAGTTGGAGCTCAGCCAAACCTCGCACGAAGCGCGGCCTGGGCTGGGGCCAATTGCCAAAGAGGAGGAATCTGAGAACAGTCTGGGAACAGTAGTCAGGGAAGGAAATTCACGTGGCAGTTGAACTGGAACGTGCTTCTTTTTTGTGCGCCCATTTCGCCCATTCCGACAGCAACAGGAAACGCAAGGAACCGACCAATTGTAGGAACCAGGAGGCTATGTATGTGCACCCCATACATCAAGCAGCTGTAGTCTCAAGATCGTTTTTTCTTTTCCACATCATTTGTTTATCCTTGAAAGGATTTAATGTTGCATTGTCAAGTTCCACAGTTCGAAGCTGGGCGCAGGGTCTCTACACGGAAAGCTTGGTCAGGACTTGGTGGCAGAGCCCGCAGAGCATGCTCGTCTCCCTTCTACAGAAGCGAAGGCCGTCCTAGTCGTCTTGGAAGTGAATCAGGCTTTGTGAGCTGTGAGCTATGAGCTATGATGAGCTATGTGTGTACAGCGGCAGAATCGGTGTTGGAGGATCCTAAGCATGTAGAGTGGCCCAGTGGCTCGGTGTAGAGTGCGCCGTTGGAGGCGGAAGACGCTCAGGTCCAGCAGGCCTTGGCGTTTCTGGGTCCAGAGGTGTGCTTTGAGAAACATACTTGTATGGTCTACCGCAGCGGGGAAGAAGACAAGAAGCGACGCAAGGAAAGAACAACCAGGACAACTCATGTTTGACCTTGGTTCATCCTTCCTTCAATCAGCGCAAAGGGCTGCTCGCAAGCTTATCGAAGCTCCTGTCTGGAGCAACATCAAGCACCGAGTGTGAGTTGCCAGATGTTGCCATTCCAAGCATGTTGCCCATAAGTATGGTAAGTTTGCTATGCCGTGCTTTCGCTCATGTCCAGCTCCATTCATTCAGTAGCCAGAATGTTTGGTGATACCTGGGAGAGTGTCAGGATTCCCCATCAACCGTGGAAGTGGCTCAGGCAGGATTGTTCATTCGACTGGCAGAAACGCCGATATGTTTAAACACCCTCAACCTAGACGCTTTTTTTGCTATATATATATATATGTAGAATATACCATGTAGAGTCTAAGCATAGCTGATAGATGCCACAAGCGGTCCCGGCCTAAGCACTGCCGTGCACATTCAGATAGGGACTTTTTCATTTAGGCCAACAAAAGTTAGCCATACAGGCCATACAACATATGACAGAGCCTTGTGGGAGTAGTTAGGTAGTTAGTCCACTGATGGCAGAGACACTGGCACAAATTTAGCGGTTGGTCCACCATTGGCCATAAACAAAGCAGTCCGTGCAGCTTATGTGTTGTGTCAAATGGTTTGGTTCTCTTTGGTTTTCTTGAATATGAGAGCATATGTTGTAGCTGATGTTGCTGTGGAAACTGGTTGATTCGCGTCAGGACCCTCCACCAGAGCCGGCAGAAGCTAGCATGGCTTTTTCCGAAGCGAAGGCTCTGTCCTGAATGGAGTTGTTTGAAGTTCCTTGCAGTGTTTTGGATGAGTGTAGTGCTACACAACGCTTTTTCCAAAATCAAGGAGTTGCACCTTTATCTTGTTTTCTTGGCGCATTGGTCTTGGAAAGGTGGAAGAGCCAGAGGTCAATGCAAATGCGGCAGATCGTCCCCAACATGAGGAGGCCAAAAAGTGTTTGTTCATAATTTTCAATTTTGAGCTCGGAGCAATTCTACCTGAATAAAAGCTGCTTGACGGCGCAGTTGATGTTCTGAAGTTCCAGCTGTTGATTCAATAGTTGATGTGCACGTCAACTCTTGAGTTTTGACAGCGGGCAGAAAGATTTTTGTTGATGGTAACGGCGGGTTGTTCTGCTGTAGAAGAGAAAGCCTCGCAAAGAAGAGGTTGCAAAGAAAAAATCAATATGTTTGTTTGGTTCGGTTGTCCATGAAACCCCGTGCAGCTTTGTTTCCGACGGACATGTGTTGTTGTGCTATATGGGTGGTCTCCCAATACCAGTGCATGCGTCACAAATGATATCGCAGCCTTTGCTTTGTCAGGACCCTCCACCACAGCCGACAGAAGCTAGTGTCGTTTCCGCCGAAGCGAAGGCACTGGCCTTTGAAGCTCCAAGTTCCAAGCAGCTTTCTTGAAGTTTGGAAGTAGTGCGAGACAAAGGTTTGCTAAAGTCAACGGATGGCAACTTTTGCGTGGACAGGTTGAAGAGCTAGAGGTCAAAGCTCTTGTGGCCGATCCTCCCCAACACGAGGAGGCCATAGAGTCATAGAGTTTTTGTTCGTAATTTTCCATTTTGATCATTCTCGAAGCAATTTACCGTAATACAAGCTGCTTGACAGTGCAGTTATGTGCTGGAGTTCCAGCTGTTGATTCAATATGTGAGCTGCACATTTTTGCTGAATGATTGATCATGAGTATATAAGAGTTGTTTCGTTTGTACAAAAAAACGCCTCGCGAGGAATAGGTTGCAAACAAGTACGTGTTAGGTTTGCTCGTCCATACGCCGTGTAGCTTTGCTGTTTCATGCTGTTTCCAACAGACATGTGTTGTTGTGCTATATGGGTGGTCTCCCAATACCAGTGCATGCGTCACAAATGATATCACACCCTTTGCTTTGTCAGGACCCTCCACCACAGCCGACGGAAGCTAGTGTCGTTTCTGCCGAAGCGAAGGCACTGGCCTTTGAAGCTCCAAGTTCCAAGCAGCTTTCTTGAAGTTTGGAAGTAGTGCGAGACAAAGGTTTGCTAAAGTCAACGGAATGGCAACTTTTGCGTGGACAGGTTGAAGAGCCAGATGTCAAAGCTGTTGTGGCAGTTCCTCCCAAGCACGAGGAGGACAAACCGTCTTTTGTTTATATAAATAAGAATCTATATTTGGAACATTCTCGGGCAATTCTATCGGAATACAAGCGATACAATGGAGGTGCACATCTTAACTTTTACGTTATGACTCATGACAGTGAACCGAAAGATTGGTCAATGGTACCAGTTGTTTCATTGGCAATTAGAAAAGATCGCCTCGCAAAGCATAGGTTGCAATTAAGTGTTTGGCTTGCTTGTCCACATCCCGTGCAGCTTTGCTGTTTTCGGCAGACATGGGTTGTGCTACAGGGTGGTCTCTCAATACCAGTGCATGGGTTGAGACTGATATCGCCTCCTTTGCTTTGTCAGGACCCTCCACCACAGCCGACAGAAGCTAGTGTCGTTTCCGCCGAAGCGAAGGCACTGGCCTTTGAAGCTCCAAGTTCCAAGCAGCTTTCTTGAAGTTTGGAAGTAGTGCGAGACAAAGGTTTGCTAAAGTCAACGGAATGGCAATTTTTTGCGTGGACAGGTTGAAGAGCCAGAGGTCAAATCAGTTGCGGCAGATCCTCCCAAACACGAGGAGGACAAAACGTTTTGTTCGTAAATATGTATATACGTGGATTTATTTGGAGCATTGTCGGGGCAATTCTAGCGGAATAAAGTCGCTTGACAGTGCGGTTCATGTAGTGGAGTTCCAGCTGTTGATTGAATAGAGGTGTACGTCTTAACTTCTAAGTTGTGACACAGTCAGCAGAATGATTGGTCATGGGTAACAGATGTCTCTGTTGTACAAAAGAACGCCTCGCAAAGAATGGGCTGCAAAGAAATATGTGTTAGGCTTGCTCGTCTTTCCCGTGTGCGGCTTTGCTGTTTCCGACAAAGATGTGTTGTGCATATATGGGTGGTCTTTCAATACCAGTGCATGGGTTGAGACTGATATCGCAGCCTTTGCTTTGTCAGGACCCTCCACCACAGCCGACAGAAGCTAGTGTCGTTTCCGCCGAAGCGAAGGCACTGGCCTTTGAAGCTCCAAGTTCCAAGCAGCTTTCTTGAAGTTTGGAAGTAGTGCGAGACAAAGGTTTGCTAAAGTCAACGGAATGGCAACTTTTGCGTGGACAGGTTGAAGAGCTAGAGGTCAAAGCAGTTGCGGCAGATCTGCCCAAACACGAGGAGGACAAAACGTTTTTGTTCAAACTTTTTTTTGGAGCATTCTTGGGGCAGTTCTAGCAGAATAAAAGTCGCCTGACAGCGCGGTTCATGTAGTGGAGTTCCAGCTGTTGATTGAATAGAGGTTCACATTTTACTTTTAAGTTGTGACACAGTCAGAAGAATGATTGGTCATGGGTAACAGATGTTTCTGTTGTAGAAACAAACGCCTCGCAAAGAATGGGCTGCAAAGAAGTACGTTTTAGGCTTGCTCGTCCTTCCCATGTGCAGCTTTGCTGTTTCCGACAGACATGTGTTGTGCTATATGGGTGATCTCTCAATACCAGTGCATGGGTTGAGACTGATATCGCCTCCTTTGCTTTGTCAGGACCCTCCACCACAGCCGACAGAAGCTAGTGTCGTTTCCGCCGAAGCGAAGGCGCCGCCCTTTAAAGCTCCAAGTTCCAAGCAGTTTTCTACGTTTGTAGAGGCAGAGTTTTGCTAAGTCAATGGAATGGCAACTTTTGCTTGGAAAGGCTGGACAGGTTGAAGAGCCAGAGGTGAAAGAAGTTGCAGCAGATCCTCCCAAACACGAGGAGACCAACAAGTATGGATGAGTGCATGTCCTTTTTGATTTGGGGCCCTAAGCCCTAAGCGGACAGTCCGTTGACCTTGGATTGGAGTCCAGTTGTGCTGACGACTTTGTTGTGCTTCTGTTAACTGGATTGCATTCAGAATCGGCGAATCGGACAGGATGACTAGGGGGCTAGGCCTTTTGAGATGGCCTCTATGCACAAAAAGAGCTTTCCAGTCTTTGAACAGCCACCCGTGCACCTGTTGTAGGCTGATTTGTGATGGTTAGGGGGGGAGTTACCTACGCGCACCCATAATAGTCACACAATGCCGATAAACTGATAGATCATCATAGATTTTATATACAGCATTTTGGTATATTTTGGTCATCATTTTGGTAGCTCAATCATCACTTGCTTTACTCATTATACTCATTGCCCCCCACATTTGTGGCCAAATCGAATTGCGCTTCCTGCAAAGCAGGACTCGCCGGCAGCTGGCGAGTGAAGCCCAAGTGCAGCCGATGTTAATGCGATGTCCACAGGCCTTTTAAGGGAGCCGTCCCTTCACAAAATAGATATAAGGGCAGTTATTTTATCGCAAAACAGTCACTGTTGAACGCACTGCAAACATTCATGGAATATTACTTTTGCAGGCAGACGCGGTAGACATTTCTCATGACCTGCTGTTGCTTAGGGCTTGATCCTTTTATTCTGCAGTTGCATGTTCTCATGATTTCGAGGACTCTATGAGGAGTGTTTTTTTATACCCAGCTCAAGACACTAGATTCACTAGATGGATGTCGGTGGTGTGAACACCATGGCCCTGCATGGACAAAGCCAAGCCTAGAAACTGGAAGTGGAATGATTGTAGGCCGGGTCAGCAGGGCATTTCTCCATCCTATTCGCGTTTTGGGTGTTCTTAGGGGCCTGCACTGCCTCAATTTTCTCTATTCACTTTCCAAGATCATCCGCACGTCGGCCCTCCTCTCGACAGACAATTTCAGACCATCATCATCCGCAGGATGGGGTCATTGGGCAGAACTTGGCTTGGCTGATCCCGATTGCTTTTAATCAACCGCTGATTCGCTGCTGATTGGCTTATTGGCTCGACTCCACTTTGGCGGATCCTGTGGCCAGTGTTGATGCCACCCTCTGAGGAGCTCTTCGTTTTCCCAGCAGAAGGGTGAGTTTTCATGAGTTTGCCATGTTCATGCTCGTTGCCCATCCTGAGGAAGAGAACCATTAGGGTGTTGAGTTTGGGCTCATGCAAGTGGCTTTTGGGCTGCAGATCTTCCTCCAGGAGATTGCTTGAGCCAGCACAGGCTGGAGCTGGTTTCGCGACACCCCAAAGCAAGGGAACTATGAAGACTCCTTGACACCTTGGTTTCACTGATCACGACACTCTATGAGTACTTCAGTACGAAGGCTCCTTGGTTTTTCTTGTTCAGTAGGCAACCCACGTGGTGCCAGTGAAAGGACTATCGGGGCCAACGCCAAACCCACCCAAAAGGGCAACGCAGGGACCCCCTTTGCATGAGAGAGTTCCACAGGCCGGTTTCCCGCGAAACACCTTGAAACAGCTCAGCTTTTTTCTGCAGTGATTGTGAGAAGTCACGAAACCAGCCATGTGTATACCAAGGCCGTGTGCAGGTTGACGAGCCAAACTCATAGATGCTGAGATAACAAAAATTGAGCTGAGACTTTCAGGGTCCATCCGGAACACAGATTTCGCAGCCCCGGGTTGTTTGGCTCAACTACAACATACTACAACTATCCTGACAAGTGCAAGCTGGGTGCTGCTGATCAGCTTTGTTATGGAGGTCCAAGATCTAAAGCTCATGTATCAAAACGTGGCAGGCAGGAGGTGCAGTAGCGCATCAGAACCAGTATAGCCAGCAGTATCTCAGATCTAGGTGGGGTCATCAGTATCTCAGTATGTTGGAACCGTTGCAGCACTCGTGCCTCGCCTGCGGTTTGCCGAAACTGGCACATGTTGTGGCTGTTTAGGCTCTGAGATCCCGGGGGGCATGTCTCATCCATTGCAACAGCAATGATCATGGGACACCAACTCGCAACTCCAACCACTTCCTGGCGTCAACAGGCGCCGGTCCCTCGCTTTGGCACACCCCAGCCCAGATCATAAAGACTTCAATAGCCTCACTGGGTTGGCTAAAAAGAACGCAAGAACTGCATAGAAACAAGCGCATCAACCAGTTTGATGGGAAGTGTTCTTCCTTTTGTCTTCGACCCGCCGCTGGTCATATAACCTGGCCACACTGGAGGCACATGTCCCAACCTAGGACGAGAGCAGTGTCGTTAGGGGCGTGGACAAGACGCTTGTCACACAGGATCCTACCTGGGTGCTGTCTTTGAAGGGTTCAACGAAGCCAAGCTTTGGACACTCCTACCAGGCAAAGAACTTAAAGTTCAAACCTGTGTGCGAATGACATGATCAGTGCATGATACCATTGAGCATCATTGAACTTGTCTTCGAAGAGGGTATGTGGGGGTGATCTAATCCCAGGATGTCCCCGGTCCCCGAGTTTTCCACATCCTCGTATCCTCAGCATGTGGGCCCCGCTGCCGCTGATCCCATGGAAGAATGACAGGCCGGCGGGTGGAAAGCATGTTTGCTGCATGGCATGCCACACACAATTGCGCCTCCAACGGGTCACCATTTGGCCACTCCACAAGAACAGAAATGACCAAGACACTATTCCAGCCAGAATGTAGGTCAGGGGCCCTGAAAATGCAATCGTGGGTAATTGCGTATGAGCTCGAGTATCGGAACTCTGGGTGCTTCGCTGGCTAGCCGCTAGATCGAGGCTGTGACTCCCGGACCCATTGCCCGTGAGACAGGACGTGGGCAAAACCACCGAGGTGACCAGAATGGAACGTCAACTGCCCCTCAAACAACGAGAGGGTGTGTTAGCGGATGTTAAAGGGTAAACCGGCTCAGAAAACCCTACCAATTACTCAAATGCTTGAGTCTTGAGTATCCCACAGGATCTGAAGGGTTGCTGTGTTCCACTGGATTTCAATGGTAACTTCCGGGCTTGGCTCGGCTTGACCCTGCCCAGGCCCAACTCCAACGAGGCCTTGGCCGCTGCCTGTGCCAAGCAGCCGCCATCGGTCGCGGTCGCGCCTGCGGGCGTACCAGTGGCGGGCGCTTTGGTCGCTTCGAAGCTTGGCGTCCACTGGTGACATGGGGACACGTGGATGGCATGGCCCCAACAGGACCATTCTCCAAAGACCAAACAGGGGGTGAACTCCGCTTCCAGGTCTTGTCACCTTCAACATAAATCATATTCTTCCTCACAAGACTTGCCTGGATAGCGTGATATATCAAGCTTTAGGGTACAAAGCTCATCCCAATACAATTGCTACAAGCTGCCAAAGCTAAAATGAACTCCAGCAGCAAACCAGCAGCAGAACAAGAGCAGCCCAGCAGCAGACCACTGAACAGCAGCACAACAGCAGTAGACCAGACCAGCAGCAGAACAACTCCGGAACAGCAGCAGAACGCAGCCGAACAGCAGCAGAACAACAGCAGCAAACCAGCAGCAGAACAACAGCAGAACAGCAGCAAATCAGCGGCAGAAGAACAGAAGCCCAGCAGCAGACCAGCAGCATCCCAGTAGCAGACTAGCAGCAGCCCGGCAGCAGACCAGCAGGAGAACAACAGCAGCACACCAGCAGCATAACAACAGCAGAACAGCAGTAGACCAGCAGCAGAACAGCAGCAGCACACCACAGCAGCAGCAGCAGAACAGCAGCTGACCAGCAGCTAAGCAGCAGCACACCAGCAGACCAGCAGCACTCCAGCAAGCAGCAGCAGCAGCAGCAGATCAACACTGTGGGGGTTTCGTGTATACATCGATGTTTTGAAGCAGGTGTCCGAAAAGCCTTCTCAATGCACGCAAAAAGGACCTTTGACGGACACCCTCGTTTCAATACCCTTTCGAGTTTCTTGGGGCGACGTTGGTTCATTTGAAGTCAGGTAGTTTTCACAACAGGATCTCCCATGCCACGTGACCCCTTTAGAGTTGAACCTTGAGGGGGGGCCTCCTTTTCGTGATAGATCAAGCTTTCAGGCAAAAAGCTCATCCCAATACAATTCGTGCTTTCGTGACAGCTTTCCGCTAAACCTACAATATGTTGAATGCAGGGGCATAGTTTATGCAACAAGTTGCAAAAATACAAGTTAATGCCCAAACAAACTGTAGTTTTCATACGCCACGAAGCGCTTGAGGAATGTTCGCCGATTGCCAAAATTCATGTTCAAGTGCACGCACACAGTTCATTCACCCGGAAGAAAAAACATACACATACTGAGGCAAAGAAATAGCCAGCAAATAACATATCATATACCAAAATAGTTTGCACCAAGCACGATAGGTGTTTAGACATGGGCGCTTGCAATTTCCTCGCGGACAAAGAATGAGACGCTTCAAGGGATGTCATAGGATAACAAGTTGATCAAATGAAGACAACGCACTACTACCAATGAAAAGAACACGTAGTTTCAAGGACAGACGTATAGTATAATTGTTCATGACAAGTACAATGAATGTCTTTGTCAAAGAGACCACAGTTTAAGTGCTGGTGCCACGGAAGATACACGTTTGGACACGCAAACGCGCAGTCTGTACATGATCACAAATACGAGTCATTAACTAAATATCATTAACTATTTGTACAAGCGGAACATGTGTATTCACTCGCCGCCCATGAATGCATTCGTGAACCGTACAAGGGTTCAAGGGATACTCTTGTCAAACAAAGCAGATTTTTACACATCGACGCATAATTATATCATCAATATACAGCAGCGCGGAAAAGCTACCTTCAAACACAAACAGTTTTCAAGCGCCAGCGCGCAAACTGTGCACTAGGCGTAGGCGCACAGTTCATGCATGCACCAAGACAGAGACTGACACAACACCAACACATCGGCGAGACACTGCCAAAACATGACCAAGGCACCAGGACATCACCAGGGCCGTGGATTTGACCGCGCCCACCTGCCTAAAGAGTGTACAACCCCAAGCTATCGGAATTGGGGATTTGTTTTTATATAACTTAACGATATATATATATATGTATACAGAATTATGAATTATGTGCATAGATAATTACAAACACAATGAGTTGATGTTCTGTTAGCTATACACAAATAATATATACATATACGCTGCATGTTGTTCTCACACATACCTGGCGGTTAGAACCAAAACCACGCACACACACACACACACTTAGGATAGGGTGTACTGAACTGAAAGCGGTGCCGCACGCCGGCCTAGGGTTCCATTTCCTAAGAGTACCAGTAAGACCTAGTGGAGGCTGGGGTCTTCAAACGGAAGTGAGGCCCAAAGCGCAAGCACCAAATCGATGAGTTCGGATCGACAAAATGACGGCGGTCCGTGCACATCTGCAGAATTAAAAGGAATAAATGGCCACCAGCTGCGTCTTACAATGCGCCCAGGTGCACCAAGCAGGTACGTTTTCACGACAGCTTGGATGGGTCTTCGTTGGCCCATGCCATCCAAGTGTCCATGGGCCCTCTGCTAAAAAGAAAAAACAATTCAACGGAATCCCTGTGACTACAAGGGGTACACACACACGCCTCCCCAAGGGGAGGCATCTCTGCCCTAGAGCGTCCTTGCGCCTAGTAGTAAGGCCAGGAACCCCTAGAAGCATCCTAGTAGTAAGGCCAGGAGCCCCTAGGAGCAACCCACTCTAAGGTCCCGACGGGAGGGAGGGGTAGGGAGAGAAGAGAAAAAGAAAGAGAAGAAAGGAAAGGGGAAGAAGGTGTTCCCAGCTACGACACAAGTGTCCAAGGACACACCAAAGGAAGAGAGGAAAAGGGTTCCCAGCTATGACAAAAGCATCCAGGGACACCCAAGGAGGAAGGAAGGTGAAGAGAGGAAAGAAAGAAAGAAAGAGAGAGGGAGAGAAAGGGAGAGGAGAGAAAAGAAAAAGGCAGGTGTTCCCAGCTACGAACAGTCGTCCAGGGACACACCAAAGAAAGAAAGGGGTGATCCTGAGTCAAAAAGCAAAGAAAGAAAGGGGGAGGGAAGGGGAAGGGGGGGGACTAAGCTCGCGACAGGTTCCAATGAACCTTGAACAAACTTCGGTCGCTGCGACCACGTACGGCTTGCCCGAGGGCTGCCACCTCTGACCGCTGCGGTCACGTGAAGGCATGAGCCAACTTGGAATTCCAAAGATGAGACAAACATCCGAATTCTTGTGGCATGAGCCAGCTTCGCCCCTTCAGATCGACAAAATGACGGCGGTCCGTGCACATCTGCAGAATTAAAAGGTATAAATTCTTACAATGCGCCCAAGTGCACCAAGCAGGTACGTTTTCACGACAGCTTGGATGGGTCTTCGTTGGCCCATGCCATCCAAGTGTCCATGGGCCCCCTGCTAAAAAGAAAAAACAATTCAACGGAATCCCTGTGATTACAAGGGGTACACACACACACACACACACACGCCATCCCGTGCACACCGAAAAACACGTTGCTCCACATGGGTTCAGGATGTCCAAATCCGCTGCCCCGGCGCCTCCCGTGGCGCCCTGGCACCGTGCGGCGCCCTCCCCGCCGCCACCCGGCGCCTCCCCGGCGCCCTGGCAAACGCCGAAGCCGCTGCCGGCGCCGCCCAAGTCAACGTTGCCGGTGCCTTTGGTGGAGCCTTGGGATCAGAGGTGGGAGCAAATGCCAGACCATTGGTGAGGTGGATTCAGTTTCAACAGAGAAGACAAGTCCACAATTGCCTGGATGTGAAGTCTTTTGGGCAAAACTGAGCAGTTGGATGGGAAGAACCTGCACATCTACCCACGAACAATGACCCCACATAGAGCTCCAGGAAGGAGGCTCTAATAAGTGGCTTTAGAAGATGATTTTGCTGCGGGAAGCATGTTGGGGAGTATGTTTGTTTATGTTTGTTTACAGTATATCGTTCCATGCACCGTACGCATGGTGAGGGACGTGGTCAAAACCATGTCAAAACCAAACGGACCATAATAGTCACGGGTAGGTTGACATCCCTTGTCCAATTTGTTGTCCACCGAGGAGCGCGTGGCCGGGGCACTCAATGCAACGGTCAGCTCCCCCCAGACCATCTCGGAGTACCGGAGCAGGCATTCGCCCGGTGGGGGCGACTGATGGCAGGATTTGTGCAGAGAGCTGTTATGTTGGGGGGAGTTTAGTTTAAACGTTTTTTTGTTCATGTTTTTTTCGCATGTTGGTTTGCCTGAATCCTGTTTGCAAGCGACGCCCTCCTCATGCATACCATCCAGAGAGGTATACCTGTAACCCTGGGTGTTTACTGATGATTGTAATAACCCTCCATACACATTACGGGGGGCTTACATCCCCATATCGGGGGCTCCATTAATCAACACTCTACATATTACTTTGCGGGTTGAGGCGTTGTGAGATCTCCTCAGGGTGGTCGCCAGCTAGGATTCCATTGCTTGCCTTGGGGCCCCTTGCCATGTGCATGGGTTTGGCAATACCAGGTGGCAGTCAGAGAGGGGGCAGTCACAAGCTGCGGAGAAACATTGATCCCCAAAAGTTGGGTTCCGGAGTGCCAGTCACAAGCCCAAAGTATTCCAACGGCATGGAAAGACAGAAGTCAACAGTCTCAACAACCAAACCCCACTGCCTCCACTGCCTCTCGCGGTGTGCCTATGTGTGCCTTTGCAGGCTGGTTAAGATCTATTCGATCCACCGACCCAGCAGCGATCTCAGTGGCAGTGGCAGGTGGAAGTGGCTTTACAAAGCAATTGAAAGCCAGCGGACGGTGTCCCTTGTGCTTAGGTAATGTGGCGCAGGTGGACTACCTGCTCAACAAATACAAGAATCAGGAGGAGTTTTTGTATACAAGTGCCTTTCATGCACTGAGCGAGGGAATTTTGTGCCAGAGGACAGCCTTCCCATGTTGAATATGGCAAATTCATGCAAATTCCATGTAGGGCGTCCCAAGTAGAGTTGAACTAGCTGCTAGCTTTGTCCAAAGTTCGGTGCATGAACTGGGGAGGGAGAGACAGAGAAAGAGAGATTGATGTTGTATTATGGATGTTTGGGCTCAAAGGTATATCATTGAATCAAACATCCCCGCGCGGCTTTCACTTACCAACTCGCTTGGCTTCACTTGTTTAATGTTCCCAACCTTGGCACCCTCACCATCACAGCAGACCTCGGAACCTGGCGACCCTTTTCCTTCGCGTCATGTCGCGTTTCGAAAGACATTCACCGCGTCAATTGTCGCCCTCGCGGTCGCGCGAGTCGCCGTCGCGGTCGCGAGGTGTTTGTTCCAAGTATTCCATCTCGCCCAGCTGGGACGGTCAGCAGCCTTTGCCTTTGCCCGTGCGAACTCGGCCGCCGCCCAATGCCAACTCGGTGGCCACGGCGAGAGCGACCAGCACGACCAACTCAAGGGCGACCACTTCCGCTTCACCGGTGGCTTGGGCCAGGTCAGAGGAGTCAGATGAGTTTGAATCTGGAGCAGAATTTGCTCTTCCTCTCATTCTACTTTCATTCTTTTGGGGTTTAGACCACTTCTCCGGGGAAGTGAGCTCCAGCGTTTGTTTGCGCGAGGGGATTGCCTGGAGTGTTGCCGAACCTTTTTGGACCCATACCGTATGGCATTCGGATGATTCTGAACTGATGGTTGGTGGATGTTATTGGCAGTTTTGGTCCGGCCGTGGACTAGGCTTTGAGCCAAATCCCATCCAAAACCCACAGATTGGAGGCGCACATTTTTTATAATTTGCATAGTGACATATCTTGTTCTGGCTAACGCATGCTGTAGTTCTGCCTGCCCAAAATCCAGCTACCTCCAGAATCTTGCGGCAATAGCAACCTCACAATGCATCCAACATGGCTGACAATCCGAATCTTGAATCTTTGGTAAAGATAGGCAAACTCAAAGGCAGCCTCCAAGTTGGCTGTGGGACAGGAACGTTTCCCAGTCAGAATCAACTTCCCTCAAATATCCCAGATTGAACAGTGAATTCCAGAATGACTTTCTGATTGACGATTGGTCTTTCTATGACCGGACCTATAAGTGGTTCCCTGGCCTGTCCTCCTCGCGCACTTACGCAGTCCTCGCTCAGGTCAGACCTGTTCAGGCGCCTGAAGGCCAAGCTGAGAGATGCGGTTCTCATGGGGAGTTGGAACTCCAAAAGGAACGCAACATCGCGTGAGAGAGTCTGCACATGTGGAGTTGGAACTCCAAATGTATTTCAGGGTCTACACATTTGGCACGTCTCGCATGTCGGAGTCGTGCATGAATCAGAGCTGAGTCCGCAGGCGACGTGCCTCCCTGGGCCGCCCGGGAGCTCATGCCGCGCCACGCTGAAGCGTCACAGGAAATCTGATCCAAAGGATTGCCAATATATGGCCTAACAAGAAGCTACTAGGAACAAGTGCATCGCTAGTAGTAACAAGTGCCCTATTAGTAATAGTAACAAGGAAGCTACTAGGAACAAGTGGCCTATTTACCCAGACGCACCAAATGTAGTTGGCATACATGGGGTGTTTGGGACAGATCATTTCAATTCATTTCAGACGCGTTTTGATCATCCAGTTGTAGGGTTGGAAACCACCTCAACTTGTTAGCCGTTTCGCTCTTGTGAGTCTCCTTGTACGAAGTCTTGGAGTTGAAGAAATGCAAACGTTGGAGGAACCAGATAAGTAGCTCACATGTCCATCACCGTGTTTTTGCCCATCAATTTCTGGACGACCTGCACAACGTACCCCTCGCATAGTCTTTGCACGAGTTTCTTTCTGGATCCGAGTCGTGGGATTCAGTGGTAGGCTATGGCTTGCTGCAAGCGACCTAGCATGGGACCGCACATGTGCCACATTGCTTGCAGTGGTAGGTGTTTTCTCTTTTCGTGCGACTTGCTCAGCATCACGCCACCAGTGCTGGGCGCAGAATGGAAACTTTGTTTTCTGGATGTGGGCCCTTCGATTCAGCTGACCGGCTGCTTAAAGCCAGGTGCTGGTCCAACGGGTGCAGGCTTCCTAGGTTGGAGACCCTTGTTCATGTTCACATATTATATACAGCCGTTTGGAGCGCTGGTAGGGCATTTAATTTCCTGACCTGATCACTATCCACTCCCTATCCACTTGGTGCTAGGCATCCTGCAAACACTCGGTTTTGGCAGGGTTGTGATCTGGTAGACACCTGGAGGTCCACCGACAAAAAGGCTAACACAACCGCACCCCATAACTCACAGGGGGATCTATTTGGTATTTGGATGACTTTGCTTAAGGGGATGATGTACCTGCAAGAACAGGGCTTTAGGAGGAGGGCTGTCCCCACATCAGCCCAACAACCATCATCTATCTTACTTCCGATCTAGGAGCCGGAGCCGTTTTGATGTTGTCCCTCACAGACCCACCACAAGTGGTCAATGGTCGAGCCGGGCACGAGGGTCGTCCCAGGTTGGCAAGCGCAAGGCGCTTTCTGCGACGGCACCGCCGAAGGCCAAGGCCAAGGTCTGCCGGGGCTGCATGAGTTTGGGCGAGGGGAACATGAGGCCCATTCATGCCCATTCCGAATTTCGTGTCCTAAACAGTTTGATCAAACTAGGGGTATTAGTAGTCAAGGCATGTCAAGGCTGGATTTCATCGAGGGTGCTCACGGGCGGCGGGAGGGGCAAAGTAGCTGCTATTTACGATACATCATTCATGCCTCTTCGAATGCATTTGGACTGTGCAGACTCGCGTAAACCAGTGGGCGTGAGAGGGTGCTCTCCTCGGCTGCGCTCTCGTTGTGGTGCCGTGCGCATGAACTCTGACTTGGCGTTCACTGTTGGCAGGCGCGAAGGGAAACCTCATGCTTTGGTGGTCTAAAAAGTCGACTTGGCCCAAGAGATCGGGACCAGTTGACTTGCAGATTTCGTGGGCGCTGCGCTTGGTGAACTCGGAAGAGCTGCAGGCACAAGCAGTGCACCTTTCCAAGTCATACGTGTGCTCTGACCTGTGTGCAGTCATATGCATCATATGCATGCACTCATTGTGTGTTCTCACAAGTGTGCTCTCGTGTGTGCCACATATGTGTGCCGTTTTGATCTCTCATGCCTGTGATCTCAAAGGTGTGTTTTCATGCGGGCGCTGTTCGCACATGTTTGCTCTCATGCGTGTGCTGTCGTGTGTGTGTGTGTGTCTTGTGCTTTCACCTGTTTGCTCACATGTGTGTGCTCTAGAGCGCGGGGCTTGGTACTCGTGTATTCATCTTTGTTCACCGTTTGGTTTCTCTTGCCAGGATCATTGGTTGACTAAAATGTTCACAAAGTTTGGACGCAATCATGGGGTAACAAGAGGGTGAAATAGTTAGTATATGTTGGTATAGTAAATAGATGCAAGTACCGTAGGTTCTTGGTCAATGCCCTTGGACCCAACGGAGTCCGCAACGCGCCGTGAAAACTAAGAGCTGGACGTGGTACCAACGGTGCCTTCGAAAAAGACCATGGACCATGCAAGCAAACTTTTGGCGGCACCAGATTGCCAGGAGGTCCCGCGATGTCAAGAAGAGATCACCTCATTGACTTCCAACCCTAAAATAAATCGAACTAACAAACCACATAATTCTGTCCACCAAGCTTGTCTTGCTTTGAAAGCCGTATTTTGGTTGCAATGTGTTGCACCCCCCGGGTGGGGCCCCGTGGATAGATCCATTGTCCGCGCACTGGCAGGTGAAGGACCCCGAACAGGAAGTGTCCTGGCACGAAATCATACCCCAAATGCTCTTTGTGTGCAGATATGTTGCAGATCCACCAAAGTAGGCCGTATTTGCATACATGAAGCGTGTGGGCAGTGGATGCTACTTACCACTCCAGAATTCGGAACTGGCGCTCAGAATGCCAGAGCCATGCAGGGTTTCTGGGTCAGGTCTTGGTCTATAGTCGATTCTTTGGAAAGCCTATTATCCGGCATTCAAAACTACAGGTCGAGCCCTTCCTCGTGCCTGCTCGTCATCGTTTCTCCGGGTGACGGTGGGCGTCGGCGGTCATCGTCGCTCCACCGCAAAGGCATCGACGTCGCTCCAACCACCACTGGGCGCGCCGTTGTTGGGGCATGAGGCCAAAGAGATCAGTGAGGCCTTAGCTGCTCTGCAGACACTCACGGAGGAGACATGCCCGGCTTCAGAGAATCCAGGGTCCGAGATGACAGATGGATGCAATCAATCAGCTGGGTGAGATGGATGGGATTGCATGGGAACAAGGTCAAAATAGATCAAAACTCGCAATCGCCTCTACAAGACCGGTACGTAGGTCCAGGTGCTCATCAACTAGGTGGCCAGAAACCTCTCATGTGGTCTTCAATTGTTTCCAGCAAAGCCAACCATCCAGGATCTCACGCAGGCAGTGCCGAAGACGCCGCCTGAGACGCCGAAGGCGGCCGCGTCAGCGGTGCCGAAGACGCCACCAGCGGTGCCGAAGACGCCACCAGCGGTGGTGCCGAAGACGCCACCAGCAGTGCCGAAGACGCCTCCCGAAGTGCCAAGGGAGGCGCGGACGGATGGGCTTGAAGAGGTGTCCCATCATGTTCGCTTTTGGGGGTTGACCAGATAAGTGAAAAAGAAAGTGCTGGACTTGCTTGGGACCCAGTGATCCCTTCGTTGTGCCCCATCTCATTGCAGTTTGAGGAGCCAAAGGCAGCTGCGGCGCCGAAGGGCGCGGCCGAGCCGCAGGGCCCGGCAGCGGAGACGGTGGCTGAGTCTGAGGTGGGACACTCGGGTTCTTTGTTGTTCTCTGGCCCGGCATCAGAGGCTTTTTAGATAATACAAAAATGAGAAGATGAAGATGCAAGCTCCACAGCAATCTAGAATATGTGTCGTATAAGTAATGGTGAAAATTAGCACATATATATTGTGTGTGTTCGTGTGTTCCATGTTCTCCCAAACTCTTCCAAGAGTTTGGACGGCAGGACCCACCGAAACCTGCTGGACCGGCGGAAGCTTCGGCCGCCACCGCGCCCGCCGCTCCGGCACGGCGGCCGCCCACGCCACCGCGGCCCAGACGGCGCATGGCGGAAGAGGCTGGAACTGGTCAGTCCTCCCGGTCCGCATGACGTAGCAGCCACAACCGTTAATAGGAACACAATCTCTCACACCTGCCTTTTGCCATTGTGTTGTGTTCAACTTCATGTTCGTCTCAAATTATCACACTTTCCCTAATTAGATCTAGATGTGGTATATATATATATTATACCTGCAGGCGCTGGAAGGCCTCATGCAGGTGTAGGATTGGCATCAAGCATTGAACCTAAGACTTCAGAACACGAAGGTACCCTGGCCCTAGCAATCTTCGCATTTGCATTAGCAACATTCGCATGACTGGAATGGAATCAGGCCAAATCAAGCAGGCCAGGGTTCCAGGGCCTGTTCCCCTTGCGTGGCTTCCAAATGGCCGTTCCGTTCCCGACCTTTGACGCCGCAGGTCACGGCCACGGACCCCCGCCGTGGGGGAGCCCGGTGGTCGGTGGAGCCGGTGGTTTTGGCGTCGGCTCCTTGAACCGTTGACCAGGAGGAGAGATGAGGAGAGGGGAGTGCATGTATGGAATCGTTTGTTGCTTACATTGGAGTGGTAAATGGGGCAAATGCCGAAGCAAACGAGAAAATTCCATAGGTTTGACGGGTCATGTGCTGGAAATGTTCAATCACGCGGCATACCAGGACACTTGTCGCAAGCCTGTGCTGGGACCCAACCACGGGTGGTGAACCTGAGCACGGGACTTGGAAAAACAGGAAACACCATGTAGTCCCATCATTGGACCAGGATGAGAAGCCGTTGCCCAACAAACAGTCCAACGGGAGAAGCTTCAGGGGCTTCAAAACTCAGTACCTGTGCTTTGGATGATGGAGTGGAGGGGTCTGTCCGAGCACTCCCAACTTGGATTCCTTCCCAATTGAGAATCCTGCCCCACACTTGAGACACCTCGCACTCGCATCCTGGAGAATACTACAAGTACCCCGCACTACCCTGGATTTCTTTGTGCTTTGGTTTGTGCGTGCGCATTATTTTGCATGCCCGTTGTTGAAGCAGGTCTACATGTTAAATTGTGGAACCGCACGGCAAAACCTTCCCAGAATTGTGGGAACATGTGCATAACCGTGGCTCGCCTTGGTGTCCGCTATAGCCGCTATAGGTTTAAATTCTCAACGGCTACATTCGCTTTGATCATAGTGATTCGGAGGCCGAATATTGGAAGAAGATGATGATGAAGAAGTGGTAGTGGTCAGCAGGGGGACCTCAGACCTCGCGACGGGAAAGTGCAGCGGAAGCAGAAGCAAACAAAGCACGGATACTGGAGATATGGGTGGTTGGAGGTGCCATTGGACGTCGACGCCCTCGTGCAAACACGTCCTCATGTTCTTCCCTATAGATCCTATTCGAGACACTGGTCATCCAACTGGGCCCCAACCAATTGGACCCCAGTTGCTGAATTGAATGATTCAATCCATTTCAATCCCCCTGACCACCGATCCGTGGCCGCCGTGAGACCAAGCCGGTGGTACCGGTGGTGCTTGGGCCCTTAGGTGTGGACGGTCGAGATCCAGGCAAGAGGGATGGAGAAGGATTGAGATGGACAGGTGTTCATGGAGCTTAAGCTTCTTGAGAGTGCAAGATCTCAAGCCCATTGTAACATAATGTAGGAGTTATATACATTATATCACATCGTGTAATACTAACAGATTAGTTATGTAGAACAATATGCGACCCGCATCTCACAGGAATTGCAGCCGATGGTGGTTCAGCATGCTTAGGCTCCAGGCAAAACATAGCAAGACCCTTCATGTCCACATATGAGAGGGAAGAACTTGATTTAGTTTTCAAGCTTTTACACCGAAGCGAGCACCGGAGTCCAGGCCACGAGATGGAGGAGGTGCGATTGAGGGCCTTTTTTCACAGAAGAGGGGATGCATTTGGTCTATCGGGCCAGTCCTTTCGCTAGTCAGCTTGGAAAGTCCCTAATTCTGCATGCGAATTTGATGAGGCGAAGAGGCTGGTGGGGGAGAACCTGACATCTTAGATCCCCGGTCGGCCCAGAGGGCACCCGAACCTGGATATATATTTAAGTTTAAATTAATGATATATGGCCTTGTATGCTGGTGGATGGGAAAAGGGGATGTCGGAGGTATCGTGAACAACCAATAGGTTTGCTACCTCCAGAATTTCCAAAAGGACATCACTGCTGGAGTGCATCTCCCATCCAACAGTCCTGAACATCAATCACATCATCCGCAACCTTTGCTAGTCCCCCGGGCATATACCTTACACGCAAGGGCTTTTTCTTTTCATTTGTCCTAAGGAAGCTAGAGCCCCCGAACAGAGGCCAACATGGAAGTGAAATATTTAAAGAGCTGATGGTTATGGAATGGCAATGAGGGTTCGGCTCCAGTAGTTCCATGAGCTCTTTTTTGAGCACTTTGTTGGAACAACATCTCTAGGAGCAAGGACGCTACTAGGAGCTCCTGGCCTTACTAGTGTCTCTAGTAAACGAGAAGCTACTAGGAGCAAAGGGCATCGCTCCGTCGTCACCTTTTGCCTTGCCAGGATGAGAAGCTAGGACGGCCCCTGGCGTGGCGGCGTGGCCTCGTGGCCATGATCAGACTCGATCTTCGGGAACAGAAAGCTCCAATCATGAGTTAATCTTGGCGTTTGTACTCCCAAGGTTTGCATGGCCGGGGCGACATGGCGTTCGGATGGCACTTCGCTTCCGGACTGTTTTGATTTAATTTTCTATCTACGGGCGGGTCAAGGTACCAAGTTGTACCAAGACATCGCACTTACAGTGGCAGGATTTGTCATTGAATCTTCCCGCTCAGGATGGCACCGGAAGCGACATCTGAAGGTTGAAGTGTTCCGTGGGCGCAGAAGCACCAGATCCTCACAAAGGGATGATGAACCAAAGTGCTCATCGACTGTGGGGTAGGTAAAATGAACTCACGTGGCCAAGATGTTGGCGAGAGACGGAATCGATGACCGGTCACGCAGCTAGACACAGAAAGGAAGTCCTGCAGCCCCTGTCTCCATACAACTATCAGGGTCAGCTGAGTCAGGTGCAAAATTCCACCAGCAGTTGGGAGTTTGAAACGGCTTTTGACTGATAGAGGAATTTGCGACACCGCCAGGAGAGCAGATGAGAAAAGCCCTCGGTGCTTCCTTGACCAAGGCCTTCGCAAAGGGCAGGCCCCTGGGTTCGCGGAGTTGGAACTCGAAATGCGCAGGGGCAACCTGTTTTTGTGTGTTTCTTGGACGGGGGTACTGGGGGGTGTTGGTCACATGTTGAAACATGTGGGAGATCAATGGTTTGGTCGCAGTCACTGGAGTTCGGACATTGTTCGACCATGTTCGACCGATTGTGGTGTGTACGGGGAGTGAAGCACAAGCAGCACAAGCATGTAGTGCACTCTCCGGATGCCCAGCCGCCCCTCGGCACACCAAGTGATCAACTATAGTCTATAGTTATTTTTTTTGTGCAGTTTCATTTATTGTCCGCGCAGAAAGCTCGCGCGCAAACCGGCTTTTCCCAACCTTCCCTGAGAAGTTGCTTGCCAGTGGGACAGGGAAATCATTTGGGACATTGAGGGACTATCAGATTTTTGAGCTACCCTACAAGTCTATGATGATTGAAATGAAGTGGCTAACTGCTCACGTGCATATTTGTGAGTGGTTTTCAGTACACTTACAGGACTCATCCCCTCGTCCCACCCATGGGCCTTCCTGGTCGAATTCCATCGGGGTCCGGTCCACCGTTTTTCATCATCACCTGGGATAGCGGGATACCTGATCATCCCAGCGCCTTCAGCCAGGTCCGTCGCTAAGATTGACAATGAGAAGTGCAAGTCATGGCCAAGTGGGCCGATGTGTATGTTGCAAGGCATTTGGGAGACACCCGATCCGTCCCTGACCTTGGCCAACCAGCACACCGAGTGAGCCGTTGGTCGCCAGGGCTGACATTGAGGAGTCTGATGCGCCGCAGATGGCCCTTCCTGTGCCTTGGGATGATTGTGTGGAGGTTGGGCCAGAAACCCCCAAAAGATATATAGTTGTTGTATGCTACAGTTGCATCGAATTGAGAGGACCAAATGAGTCCCAATCTTGGATGGTCACAGAGGGATTCTCATTATTCTCATTGGGAAGGTCACTCAGAAGGCGTTGGAAGATTTGTGGTGCTCTACGGTTGGTGTTTTTCTATGTTTTTCTCATATCGCATGGCCTAGTCTATTGGAGGCTCTTGGGAGGCACTTGATATTGACCGCAGGGGTTCAGAGGTTTGGAGCAGGACAGTGTGCTTGATTAGTATTCCAGTTAGGCTCGAGGGAGTTCGCTGGTTTCTGTGGTAGCGGGCCAGCGAACGCCAAGCATTCAAAACCATAGATGTGACTGTGGCATCATTCTCAGTAGGCAAGTAGGTCACCAACAAACAGCCAGGCCAGAATACCATAGAATACCTAGATCAAGGAGAAAATCCCTTCAAACACGCGCAAAAAGAGTAAATTTATCAAGACCCTATCTTTGAACATCGATTCCATTGATTCTTGGATTTGACCGCAAGAAACATCAAGAGACTAACCTGCTGCATCAAAATATTGACCGAACCCTTCGGTTGTTTCAGGTCTCCACCTCCAACCAACAGTTGCCCTCCATTTGGTCCTTTGAAAGCAAGTGCCAATGGTTGTGATGTCCAGTCTGCAACATTGACCCTGACTCATCCACATAGATGTATCATCCACAATTAGACCGGTCTTGTGGGCTGTCACCATCAAAGAACAAATGCATGCCCAACTTTCAACACATCACGCCTGGTTCACCTTCGGAACCTACCAGTGGGCCCCTCCAGGAAAGGGGCCTAACAGGTCTCACTTGGTGAACTGTTATAATATGTTACAATGAACATACTTGAAACTGTATAAGGCAATTACATCTATCGCGATTTGATATGATGTTGATCCATCATTTTGGGGGGAAGCTGGAGCATTTTCTTCGGGATTCGGGTGTTTTTATACACCACCGGCGTCCGGCGTGGGTTCTTTCTTCCCATCGCTCCAGGTGGAGCCCGTGGTGGATCCACCGGACGCGGTGGATCCACCGGACGCGGTTCCGGGTGGCCAGGCCGGGAAGATCGGTCGACAGGTCGGGCATGTGAGCCTGAAACATGCTAAAAATAACACATACACTTCTAGAATGTGCCATAGGTTGCGGAGAAAAGAACGACAGATGGCAGCAAATTTAGAGAGAAAAGGGGGGCGATTCTCCGTTGAAACGGAGTGGATCTGGTGGAATTCTCCGTTTGTCAAGCAGAAATCTAGGGTTTTGTTCCCCTACACATTGTACTAACAACATGATACAACATGCAGTAGAGCATGAACAAGTTCTGCTAATTGTCCAGGGCTTGCTTGCGCCGTGTGGACCTGACTCAATATGCATCAATATATATACACATAACTTGCTGGATTGAAGCCAAGGTCGTATATCCTGGTTGTTTACAACAATTGGCCTATAAATATCAAATGATGAAGATAGGCAAGAAGCCCCCCCCTTTCACCTGCAAGGAAAGTGCAGGTGGCAAGCATTTGTAGCCTATAGTGGGTAGGTAGGAAGTTGTTGAATTGTGTTGTTTTTCCACCAGCTGCATAGAATGTCACTGCAATGAGCACCTTCCTGCTGCCCAAGGACGACGCCCGCCGCGCTGCCGCAGCAGCTGCGGCGCGCGGTAGGGGATGCCCAAAGAGTGGTAGAGCTGCGGGAGGTTTCCGGAGACCAGGACATGTTCTATAAGAAAAGAGTGATATGATAGGTGTTTAATTTGCCAAGACCAGAAAGGTTAAATGTGTTTGTATCCAAAGGCTTGAAGGATGTTGAAGGTGGTCCTTAGTTGCGTCTTGGTGTGTTGAAGGGAAGATTCAGGACATTTGAATGGCCAAGAGATGCCAAGACGCTTGAATGAGTGGGGCTGCTGACCCTTCGACAAAACCATTCCGTTTTGGGTGTTCAGAGACCGCCAACGGCCAACATGAAATGGGAATTTGGTCCCGTAAGCGGAGGACCGTCCTTTTCGTTCTTCTTGATCCTGGACCGATTCGTCTCAGTCTCATTGGCCGACGCAGAGAACCTCCGGGCCCCGCAGCCGATTTCCCACCCCACAGTGCAGCCCACAAGAAGCAGGGAACGAAGCGCAATGGCATCCATCACCCGGGAGGAAGTCGCCAAGCACAACAAGGCTGAGGATGCCTGGATTATTGTGCCTGGATGTGTGTTTTAGTAGCTGGTGCATGTGACGAGTTAGGTGGGGTGGGGTGGGCCCAGGGAGCATTTGATGGTTGAAACATGTTGAATGCTATATGACATATATAACTAATATGGGCTATGATGTAGTTGTCCATCGGGCACGGGCTAGAACTGGCTGGGCACAACTATTCCTGTGATAGTTTCTTGTTCCTGCGAAATAGATAGATTGAAATGGTCTAATATAGGCTCTTTTGATAAACCCCACCCCCGATTTGGATTTGCAAAACCTCGTTGGCAATATCATCACGAGTCTAATGTCTACATGAGAATTACAGTAGTCAACCCCCTGACAACACTACTTGGGCTGGGTTGCCCATGGGATGTACATGTGGAAAGGATCCACCCTCGAGCTTCCGCCCAAATCGCCAGATTCAGTGGATAGGATCCCAGGTGGGCTTGGAAGAAGTGCTTCCCATGTTGGAGGCTTCACAGCTCTAGAGTTCTGTGTTTGGGTGAATAGACAACCGCTGCACAGTACATGTTTAGAGACTTAGAGATTCTCCAACATACACAAGGGCGTAAATTAGAATAGGGCAAGGGGTCTCCCCCCACTCATTCCCCGCCCAGTGCTTGCATAGCATTTCCAAAACATGCACATCCATTTCAGCACTCTCTTAGAGTTTGCTTGGACCTAAAGGGGAGAACTGGGAGTTGCAGCCCGGAGCTGCCATTTGAGGTGGATGGTGATGTCTACGATGTGACCAAATTTGCGGGTGTTCATCCCGGTGGCACACAGATCCTTTTGGAGTATGCTGGAAAGGACGCTGGTCATGCTGTGATGCAAGAGTATGAGAGAGAGAGAGAGACGACAGACAATGAGATTGAGACTGCGAGCTGTTGTCGATGTGTTGTGAGTTGGAACAGCGACATACTGAAATGATGATGCATCCACCCATTGTTTGAACATCTTGACCTCCAAACAGTATTTGGGGTACAATGAATGGTTTTACCAATGGAGTAACCTATGGGTTTTATATGGTTTCACCATGTTTTGCCAGTGGTTGCACCAATCAGTCATTGTATACCCGTTGAACCAATCAGAACCTGCTCCAGCATTGACTCCGCGCCATCGAAACGATCGAGCCAAGCATGCCCAGTTGCTGGCCTTTTGGGGGAGGTGCTTGAGTGCTCCGATGATGTCGAGGATGTCAAGTCCGATTGGATGATGATGTTGCAACGGTTCACCTCGCCACCCTTCTTCACCTCACCGGGTGCGACTCTAAGAGTGTCGCACACCTCGCCACCTCCACCCCTCGCATGCCACATCAGGATGCCACGGAGGATTTCTACGCGTTGCACCGCCTGGAAGTCTTGGACAAGCACTTTGGAGTGGTAGTTTGTGGATGCTTGTGGCAAGTAATCCAAGGATGGTTACCCTTATGCTACTAGATTGTGGGAACTTCTGAGAAGCTCAATTCAAACATCATGTGAACCACTCGGTTGCAGCATCCCTTTCTACATCCAGTTCACCCACTGCGCATGCATTACGTGCGCAACCTCGCCATCGCTTTCGGGAGTGGGGGTCATCAAGCACCTGCTGCCCAAGGTACCAGCGCCTGAAGAAGGGGCGCTTGGCAGATGCCAAAGGTCCTCCACCCAAGAAGGCCTCAGAGGTCTTGCAGGCGCAAATCCGTCGGGACAGAGACTCCTGGACCCACCAGACTGTTGGGCTTGGGCTCCAGATTGCATCACTTCCAAATTGAACACCAGACAGTGCATATATGTTTACAAAAGGTACATTACAGCTGGATGGTGGAAACAACCATCTGCAATGGGTTAGAACATCTTAGGCAATCATGCTTGTCCTTTTGTCACATTGGTCTAAGACCTCATGTGGTCTCAGGTGTCGACGTTTCGACGTTTCAGGAGTTCAGCAAAGTGCCCTTTGCGGAGCCAACGTACCTCCAGGGCGACTAGGCTGGGTTGGGCCTGCCAGGCTGAAGATTCGTGGCCTGGGCTCACAGAAAATGCGGGCAGGACAAGCAGCAGCCCAATTAGCAGGGTCTTCAGCAATCAAACTGAATATATTATGTTGTTATCCTTATGGTTCTTTTTTGCATTGCAATGCACATGGTTGCGTCCTCCATGGATGTCCATGGCAACCACATATTGAGACCATTGTTGTCCTCATGGTTCTCCATGGAAACAAGGGTGTTTGGGGAACGTCGTGAGCACTGGAAGAATGCCCGGAGAAGGAGCGGCCGACGTGTGACGAGCGGCGGGCCAGCCACCCATTTCTGAGCCAATGTGTTTTTTGTTTTTAAATTGTACACTCCCTTAACAGCAAGAAAAGACATAGGACAACTGGAAGTTCATTCAATAGTGGGATCATGTTGGATCTATTGGGTTTGTGGATGTTTATTAAGTCACTCATGTCCGCATGCGCGTTAGAAAAGCGTGTTTTAGGTGTGTTTTCTCCATGGATCGCGCAAACCTGAGGCTTCAAGTCTCCCTACTTCGACTCAAGCCACATCAAGCTCAGGCGCTCGTGAACTTACATGGGTCACACACCCTGTGGTGTTTTGACACCACCTGTGGGACACCCCTTGCTACAATCCAGGACTCCCCTGGAAACAGGTCTAAGTCTAATGAGGTTGCCACGATCGCCTTGGGGGGGCCCAGCAGCAGAATGATGTTGGCCGAGTCGGCTTCTGATGAGTAAAACGAGGAACGGAGTTTTGGACCAACAAATGGACATTCTCACATGTCAGGTCATGCCGCATGTCATGCCGCATGTCATGCCGCATGTCATGCGTTGTTTCTCTATATGCTTCTCCTCGTGTTTTGCAGACGCGGCCGTGAGTCACGTGTGTGTATGTGTGTGGGCCCACCCATGCCACCATGCCAGGGACGACAGATTTGCAAACGATCTAAGCTTTAATTGTCCTTCATGGCAGGCACGAACGGTGGGGTATCATAAAGTCAAGTGCTCAATCCCCAGGTAATTGTGACAAGTGAATATTACACTCCGTGGAACTAACATGGAAGCGGAGTTCTTCTATTCTCCCTGTTTGGTCTTCGAAAATGGTCATCCTGTTGGGGCCATGCCGTCCATGTAAACTTGATTATTCCAGGGAGTGTGATTACTCCAAGCCTCTCCATCTCTCCAGGCAGGAGGCGCGCAAGTTCTTTTGCGGTGAGACCCTGGAAGAGGCCTTGGAGTGCGAACAGATGCTGGGATGAATGCGGAGGTGTCCAGTCGGAGTGCGAAACTGAACCAAAGGATTGGTAGGGAAATCAATGTGTTTCAATCATTACGCCACCTAGGATACCACAGCAACATCCATCCATCCATTCATGCATGCATACATTTACACTGTGCACTGTACATGTTGTTGGTTCTACACTGACAAGGTGGTGCAGAACATATTCCATCAGCACAGTCAGCAGCAAAGCTCCGTGAGCTTGAAATCTGAGATCACCAGGATGAAGCGGCGTCACCCAATGGGCGATGAGGAACCCCGCTTGTGACCCCAATGAGGACCCAACGGGTGGTAGCAACCGGGTCCGTTCAGGATGTCTGACGTCATGTCACTCCTAGCCTTCAATCTCAAGAGGAGTGACTGAGTGACTGAATGCTTCGATTTTGGGATCTGAAACTCACTCTTCGGATCTGGGTTCATGACCGGACCGTCTCACGAGTCACGAGCCAGTGGGTGGATGACCTGTGAGGGCTTGTTTCGCCAGAGGCTCTCCAATTTGGAGATGATTTGAGGACATATAAGAAGTCCCATGCAGCATTTCAATGTTTTAATAGTTTGTTTGCAGAACCAACCCTCCAAAACACCTTTGCACCGCTAGGGAAGCAGTGCTGAAGACGGAAGATACTCCATCCACATTGTGTTGATCTAGCAGCCCTAGCAAAGTGACAAACTGGCTTCATGCCCTTGACAGCCTTAAGAAGAGGACGTTCCGTGCTTGTGGATCCATGTTATCCAGCCAGCCATTGAACGGCCAGACTAGCCCCTCTTTAAGATGTTGCAGGAGAATTCATGTGGTTCCCAATTGGCATATTGGTACGAGTTTTGTTGAGCATCCACATAGCTGGGCCCCTGGGCTTGTTATTTTCCCTGGCAAGTTGATTTCTGCGGTCGAAGTTGCGCTGACAGTGCTTCAAGTGCAGACCTGTGTGGCCTACTTCGCTGGGTTCGCAGGCTCTCACTGTTCGCTCGCGCTCTAGCTGACAGCAACTGAGTCTAAGTGGACAAAAGAAGCTTTTGCAGCCTGGCATGCAGTTCCGCCCCGCTCGTCATTCATGGCATTGCTTGAAAGACGCCAATGATGGATGAAGCTGTCACATTTGCAATACAAGAACTCGGGATGTGTCAGGCGCAGTGGATCCTGCACCAAGTTCTGGTTTGCCACACGTCACCCGGGCGGCATACATTGCATGGGGGCTTCAATACTTGCAGTGCACCAAGTCAAATAGTCCCGTAATCAATTGCGTGGGTGGCGAAGGAATCCCTGATGGTTTGGGATCTTTATGGCCCATGAATGTAGGCAGGGTGGAAGGATGCGAAGATGTTTGGCGAGGTGATGAAGATCTTGGACCGTCGAGGATCTTCACGACTCCTCCAAGCACGTTGAACTTTCATTGTCCACGTCTCCGTGGAGATGTTCCTGTGTGCCAGCCATGCAGACAGAAGCCCGGCCCAAAACTCGCTTGAAAACACTGGCTGCCATGCTACAGCAGTCCATTTTGGAATCTTTGGCCTAGAGCAGGAAGATCCGAAGATGGCAACAACTTACAACCGCGATGTGGAAGACAAGCTGCGGACTGCGCTGTCATGCGCTGTCTATCCGAGTTGTTCTCTACCCTTCGCGCAGAGTTTCTGGCCAGCGCATCAAGATTTAATTATGCAATGTATAGACTTGCAGTTTTCCTTCTCACAAGTCTTCGATTGCTTGGCCTGGGCAATCCTCTACAAAGATGCCGACCTGAGTCGCCGGAGGACAGTGTCGCACAGACAGGGCTTCAATCCAGTCCGTCCTGTTCGTCGTTGCAAATTCAACAGCTTGCGTTAGAAGAATCTTGCAGCCATAGACTGTAGGTAGGTAAAATATTTATTTTGTTGTTTTATTGTCATTTTGTCTGTTGTGTTGTTTGCTGTAGTTAATTTATTTGTCGTTTTGGTTGTCATGTGATTTGTCATTTTGGTTTTAGCTGTCATTTTTTTTTGTTGTTGTTTTGTCATTTATGTATCATTGTGTTTTTCATAGTATGTGCATTTATTTGTCGTTTTGTTTGTTGTTTTTTTGTCATGTCTTCTTTGCATCTGGCATTGATTCTGTTTCTTGCTATGTGTTTTGCCTGCCTGGGCCTGCTCAAGGGTGCGGCTGTGGGTGGAACAATTTACCACCCGACTCCACCCAGTGTTGCTGGGACGTTCTGGGCGTCAATGAAAACCGCTGGACAACGAGTATGAGTATACCTACATTATGTATATATAATAAATATGTTTTTTCACAGGTCACTATAGCAAGCTGCTTGCGGTTCGGTTTGCGTGAGTGTTGGGTGTAGAATCGAACTTCATTGAACATTCAACCGTTTAAGACAGATGAGCTCCAAACCGGTCCCCTCGTCCCAACAGCAAAGCGACAGGCGTGTCAAACCGGGCCTTTTCGTCCGGTGCGGAGTGAGCAGATTCCCTGGTGGCTTCAACCGGTGCAGAGTGAGCAAATCAAATCCATGAGCTGGCAGGAGAAATGAGGGATAGGTGAATGACCTCCCTGGGGCACCCCAGGTAGTGAACGACCGTCATGTCGGTAAGTCAAACAAGGAATGATGGTTTGGGACCCACAGCCAAAGGTCAGAACCACATACCACGGGTTTTTGCTCTTCAGCTATTCTCGTAACCTCGTTTGAATCCGCACGGTGGACTTGGAATAGTAAATCTCCCATCGTGCAGTTGAACTGTTCAGCCTGACATCCAGTTATATACAGGCTTCTCAGGAAAGGCTGGAAGAGGAGAACCTTACAAGTAAGAGTTCATTGATCAATCTGTGTGAAACCTTTGTGCATACACCATCCCTCGACACGCCCATTCTTAAACAAGGCCCCGCGCCCTGGCCGCGCTGGGACGTCCACCGCCTCCCCTAGGAAGTCCACCGCACCAAGCAAAGAGATGCGAAAGCGCATGGGCGAACTGGGTTTGATTGCCATGGTCCAGGGCCCAGGACGGAGGGCGTAGCGGACGTAGCAGCGGTTCCAGCGGACTCTTGAAGGGTTGTTGTTCTGATGTTCTGGTGCAGCCAGCCACGCTTCGACTTAGATAAAAGGCAAGGGTGCAGGGTTGAGTCGTTTTGCGGGCATTTTTGTTGAAGGAAAGAAAGTGAAGAAGTCCTGCACCGGATGCAATTGCAAAAAAAACGGTGGATATTGAGGTTCCATCATAAGTTTGTGTCGGTGCTGGTTAGAACTTCCTTGGGTGCGCTTTCCGACAAGGACCTCACTTGAAGATCCCTCCCTCCCTTTGCGGCGGTGTGGTGAAGCCAGAGGAGCTTCCTGGATGTGACCGCTCTGGTGGGATTTGAGCAGTTGTAAGCTACATTTTTGGAGGGTCTAAACCGGTGGTATGCACCTAGACATTGAAAGGCAACATATGGAACCTACAAATATCTACAGAACTAAAGATGCATATGGGCAAAAAAACAATCAATATGGAAAATTGAAAGCCATCTGGAAAGGCTACCAAAAGGTCAAAAGGCTTTGGAATGGCTCAAAGGCTTGAAACTAGGTTGGGTTGTGGCAGGTTCCCCAAAGCCACCTGGAAAGGCTACCAAAAGGCCAAGAGGCTCTGGAGTTGCCCCAAGGCTTGAAAAAAACAGAAAATCATACCAAAACAATAACGAAACCATTAAAAACATACTTTACATTCTTTACATACATGCTTCTGTCACTGGCTTGGAAGTCTTAAACATAGCAGGAAGAAAAGGAAGAAGGTCTAGAGAAAAAAAGGTAAAACACAGAAAGGTGTCAAGAAAACGGAACCTCCAAAAATGTAGCTTACATTTATTCAAAACATGTAACTTACATTTTTTAAGGTGTCCCTAAGAAAATGTAACTTACATTGTTTAAGCCCAAAGTTGCAAAACATGTAGCTTACATTTAGACAGGTCCCCCCCCTCTTAGGGGTGGGGATGGGGTAAGCCAAACCAAAGGCTTGCGTGGTCCTACCTGAGAAACCCACCAAAAACCATGAGGCTATGACTGGGATGAAGATCCTTTTCGTTCTAGCTCAGGTGAAATCCTCTAAACATGTCAACTGTCCATACTGACTCAGTGGATATAACATCAGGACAACCGCTTTCGACATTGCCAGGGTAAATCTCCAATAGCAAATCTCATAAGCTACGATTCCTGCGATCAACCAGTATAGCCTCGATGCCTTGAGAGCAGCTACTCATCCAAGAAAATCACCGTGCGCTGTGGCCATTCGATGGATCCTCTCGGCTACTGTAGTCCATCCTGCTACGTACTAGGGCCTAGGGGCCCATTGAGATGAGCCTCGGTGCCTTGAAAGAGCATTGCTGGATGGTGGCGAGGAATACCATTCACTAGACTATATATATATAATGCACTATTGGTGTGTTTTTTTCTTGATCCTCATGTCCTATACTCTATTATTCACTTGGTGTTTTGTTTGGGGAGCTGGCCAGACTTGCTTCTTGATCCTCATGTCCTATAATTGTAATGATGGGCATGATTGGCCCTGCTTGGGTCGGCCCAACAAGGAGCACCATTTTACATCAGGTTGAGGGCAGTTTAACAGTATACTCAATGTTTTGTATGTTGACCTCTACGTAGGAGACATGTTTGTATCACAGCTGCTGATATATGCATGATTAACGCACGTGTTCACATATAGGTCCTCTTCGGAGGTCCATTTCAGAGGCACACATGCTTTCCTATCCCAAAGGCTCCACGTATGGAACATTTACCTACATTGTTCCTTTAACAAACCACCCCAACATATCCCAACATCCCAACATACAGTATACATACCATACATGGAGTGTTTTCCCATCGATTCGAGGTTCACCTATTTCCATGAGATGGTCGTCCAAGAGGAGCGCTGCCGCACCATGTGCCCGGGCTACGAGGATGGTCTCGACGGCGCGGTGTCCATTGGTTTGCCCGTGCTCCTGACGCTTGGAGCGGACGCGGCCGCGGAGCGGACGCGGCGAAAGAGAGAACAAGGAAGGGACTGGTTTAGAGTTTAGACTGGTATAGAGCTGAAACATGATGAAACATGGCCAAGGAGGCCCAATGGCACTGCTGAGGTGAAGGTGTGGGAAAGGTGGTGTTTGTGCTCCAATTTCATGCCACATTGTGACAGCGATCCCGGGTTTGACTGATATCAACAGAGGCCGACACCGTTCGTGAAGCCGACATCGGTTGCCACCGGAATCTGTGACCGATGCTCCGCCCGGTGTGCTTCGATGTCAGGAAGTATGGCTCAGATTGGATGAAGAATGAAGTGGTGCCTCCAATCATCAAGGGTGACTCTTCTCAGACAAATATGGAGGATCCTAACTGCAGATGTGGTTATGGGCTGCGAGTTTGTCGGTGTTCTTTTTGAAGGTCAATGCAAGAGTGTTGCAGGGTGTTCCTAAAAGAAGCTCTCCTTTTTGCACCATAGCCAGCAAATAATAAAGCTCTCAAGCTTGAAACAAGCGGGTTCCAGGTCATTGACCTTTTTGCTCACAGAGGGGGTCCCAAGTTCGGCAGTTTGTCACCACCACTGGCCTTGGTGGCTTCATCTTGCTCACTTGGCTCACTTTGGTTACTTCATCCGAATTCATGTGGCTCAGCCAGGAAGCCCTGTGCCACTGTCCACAACGCGATTGTAGTCTAAAGAACAGCTAAGACTCCATATGACGCCATCAATTACAAACACTTTGCTTGATTTCCATTCTCCATCTTCATCCTGACCCTCCATTGAACCTTCATCAACCCTCCAAAAAGCCACAACGGAAAGAGATCCACATGTCCACCACTGCCTCCCACCATCACCTCCGCTATAGCGGTGCTACGACTGGGCGCTCCGCGGCTCCAAGGCGAACAGACCGTCGTGCTGAGCATCACCGAAGCCTTCGCCGGCTCCGACGTGGCGGGGCTCCGGACCACGGCGGTGCTGGACGCCAGTGGGGAGACGCCTGGCCGTGCACAGGCGGTGGAGGTCTCACCCACAACGGGAGGGGGGAAGCCATGGTGAAGGAGCTGTGAGGGCCAGGTTCAGACTGGCACAGAACTGCGTTGAGGTGATTTACGGCACATGACTTGTTTTTTCTTTGTGCCGATGGTGTTTTCCTGTGCGCGTCCGTCTACTTTCCAGTGGAATGATTCGCGAGGGCGTCCCCAAGTGAAGTGCGAGTAGATGTGAGTAATTATATAAATATATAGGATTATATAGGTATTTGTCATGCCCATGTGGACTTCAGTCGATTGTTGTGTTTGTCGTGTCCCCATGGGGATGGCGCAACTGGCACAACTGTCTCCAGGCTTTAGGCCATATTTTTTAGATTCTAGGGGGTGTCAATGTGTGTGTGTGTGCTTTCTTACACCAGAAATTTACTCTACTCTGAGCATACTTTGAAGTCAATCAGTGGCTATACTTCTAGCTTGTGCCAAACTGCATTCATTGGAGGCGGGACCATATTTTTAGAGCAAGTTGAGTACAGCAAGAAAAGGTTGTTGTTTTCGGCTTTGGTGCTGCTTTGCTGCCAAAATCAACTTGGTATAGACTACGTAGACTTTGTGTTTTTGGATGCCGAGGTTGGTTGGCCACATGTACCCTTCACGTTCCCTTGAGGGAACTTGGGAACTTGGAAGGGCCAGAAAGCCCTCGGGCCTGAACGATTCTCACATCATGATGTTACGTGAGTCAGGTGTTAGTTCCTTTTTTCATAGCTGAAAACCTGTAACAGGTCGGCATTGCTGTAGGTAATGCACTCCAAGACCAGCTGCATTAATGTCTAATGTTGCCGCAAGATGCCACAAGACTCTTCTTCTTGAAGATTTGTTGGGTTGTGGGGCCCTGTTTGCTGTAAACGTCCTGCCGTATCACCGAGGAACTACATCGTGAACGGCACCAAGAAGTGGATCACAGGGGGCATGTGGCTAGTCCGGAGTGGGGAGTGGGGAGTGGGTACATGAGTGGGAAGTTAGTTTGAGTTGAATGTTAGTTTGAGCCGCATTGTGTTGGTTTTGTTCAAGGATTGATTCAGATCTATATAGGACCTAGGAAATTGATTCAATGTCCTGTTGACGAGGACCCGCTGTGGGGGTGAACAACAAGATTCCTCACGTGCAGGTTGCCAGCTGTTGTGGTTTCATATGTGCCTGTCGTGATGTAGCCGGTAGAGTTTGGTTGCGGGACGCCGATGGTTAGTCGTGGGGGTGTAGACTCTATATATAGACTGTATCATACCCTGTTGACCCAAGCCTACATAAATGTGTCTCCAACACACCCTCTCACAGGGTATGTCCATGTGGATCCATAGAAAAGTTAGAGTTATTATTAATCTATGCGACAACCACACCCTAGCAGGCCCTAGCACTCCGACCATGCAGTGGCTGCAGCAACTTTGTGTGTCTGTCCGTTGTAGATTTGTCAGTTTGCTTTTCACAGGTTTTTCCCCGGCCGCTATGGAGCACGCTTTTTCCACACGACCCCCTTATCCAAAAAGAGCCCAAAAAGTTGCAAAAGGACCCTGGCAATCAACCCATGGCATGTGGACAGCAACCAGGAGAGAAAAGTACTAAACCGAGGAAAGCAACCTTCCAGGATTTGCGCGTAGAAGCCGCCATCCTCTCAGATCGCCGCACAAAAAAAGAGCGAGCGGCTCGCCTTAAAGGTGGTCACATGTGGTCAGTTTTCTGACCGCCCCCTAGTCCAACTGTCCGCCTCGCCCTAATCCAACCACTGCAGCAACTTCCCAACCACTGACGCCTCGAACTTCGAGGTACGCGGATTGGTTTGTGACCGCGGTGCGCACGGGGAAGCCCGGTGCCGGTGGTATCTCCATGATGTTGATCCCCCGATCCGATGCAGTTCAGACGAAGGCGTGGGTTCGCCTGGAGTGATGGCAGTTTTGGGTGGTTGGAGCCAAACAATGTCTCAGACTCCATGGGACTGGGCTTCAGGGGGTCAATGTAGGTAATTACTGTATATATATAATACCTACTGTAAGAAGTGCGACTTGTTCACTGTTTGAGCGTGGAACCTCATCAATCGGAGATCATCAGAGGAATCCATGCCATGAGGAACTCAGGAGCAACCTCTTCACGGCTTTTCTTTGTGGCACACACTGTGGCCAATGTTTTTCGTCGTTTCGTGTCTTTTTTCTTCGTCCCGAGTGCAGCACAGACGGCTGTTCGCTACGTCCATGAGATCGGTGTTTGTTCGTCGACCGTCCTCGGACCGAGCTCAATCGTTGTCCTCGCCAGATCATGAAGAGCAAATATTCCAGCTCTGCGGGCACAGCCTACGTGACCTATGAGAACTGCGTGGTGCCCAAGAAGTACCTCATCGGAACCGAGAACAAGGCACGAACGAGAACAAGTGGAAGGACCGCGAGTGAAGTGAAGTAGGATGGCAAGGGTGATTCTGCATGGAATCAGTCACCCTGTTCTTGAATGTTCTTAATAGCTGGCACCCCAGCACAATTGTCAGGAGCAGTTTGATCAATTAACATGACATATTGTGCATGTTCCACAGGAACAGGTGTTTGCACCTTGTAGACTGGAGGCCTTTTGCTTTGAGTCGTGTTTGCCGTGCTATGACAAAATGTCGGCTAATAACATTTGTTCACAAGCCGGCTTGGACCCCATGATGCTGCATCAGAGTGGTGTATGTGTGGCTGCAGGTTGCAACCTGTGAGTTGATAGAGCCACGATTGCAATCTGCAAAATTCCAAGGGCTGGGGGTCGCCATATCAGTCAGCCTCCAACGTGACCGTGCCGTTTGGTGGAAGCGAATTGTAAAATATCGGAAAGGTCATGCAGTGACTTTTGAGTGGCATGTGAACCTATGGTAAAGGAGGAGTGCCAGGATATGCCAGGATGTTCATGTCTTTGAAACAGGGCCAAAGGCCAGCCAAGAGGTTCTCCTGAACTGGTATCTACGATTGTCCTGAACTGGTGTCAGGGAAGACGATCCTGCCCTAGATTTGTCCTAAAGTTCGAATCTGACAAAGAAAAACATGAAAAAGACCAAGAGATCACCCTTACTGCCACTACTATAAGTTGAGCTTGAGCCTCAAGCGCATCAACCAACTAGCTGTCCAATCAACTAGCTACCCTCGCCAACTGCAGGGCTTCCAGATCATCATGTCCAACTTCAACCACGAACGTTGGATGATCACTGTGGTTTGCATCGCCCGTGTCCGCATGTGCACCGAGGCAGCGGATTCGATAGTCAACACGGGGGGCCGTGTTTGTGCGGCCGTTTGGGCGCCCCCAAGAGGTTGAAACCTCAGTGGTTTGGAAGACCAGCATGGAAAACATGTTTGTTTAAACCCCTGGTGAAACATCTCCCGTTGCCTGTGAAGTGGGACTGGAGGATGTGAAAAACACATCATTTCGCGAGCGAGGATCATCGCGAGCGCAGCCAAACGCATGCAAGAGTATGCACGGAGTGTGAGCAACTTTTTGTTGGCGGAACATCTCAAACAAATCAACGCGGTAGATCAGCAGAGTCAGAGTTCCCAGTGTATCGCATGAGGACTTTCACCATGTCGGAGGTCGTTCCAGAGATGAGTCATGATGAAGCGAAATGTGCTCAAGGGCGGGTGCCATACAAGAGTTTACCATCAGTGGGACTGGCCCCCTTGATGAGGAATTTGCTGTTCGCCACCCGCGTTCCCTTTGTAAGTTCCACCTGTAAGATGCCGAGGGACGCGCCAGGAGACCTTCAAGTGGTCCATGCAGCGGAAGGTCTTTGGAAAGCCCCTCATTGAGCAGCCTGTGATCCGTGAGAAGCTGGCACAGATGTTCGCTGGGGTGGAGACGCTGGGCGGCAACTTCTTGGGCAGGGATGGTCAGGCCGACTATGGGTAGATAGGACCAGGGGGGTTTTGGTGCAAGACATGTGGAATCATGTAGAGTTACATTTTGATCAGTGAATTATTTGCCGGATTCGGAATGTGGACGAATTATGCAGAATCAAGACCCAACATGATCAAGAGATCTAGCACGATGAGGGACCTCCCTCACAGAGTTTGGCCAAGCCAGAGCCCGGCACTCCCTGGAGCCCAAAGGATTTGGTTCGAAGCTCAACCCCCTGGAAGCGACTCACAGGCTGTCTAATTTCCCCGACAGAGACCCCCGCCTTCACCACCTGAAGCCTGAGAGGATAGTTTTAGTATTCAGTACATACCAGCAAATGTATTGTAATATTATATACATGCATGTATTATATATTACTAATTACATTTTTCAGCACGGCCTCCTTGTGAAGACAGTTTCGAGCCTCCGTCCCTGTCGAGATGTTTTTTCTCAGACTATCCGACTGGTGCTTGAAGTGTCAAGCGGGCCAGGACCTGCACCCAGATGCTCTACGACATCACTTACAACATGGTTTCCATGGGTTCTCAGGGTGCTGAGGTGGGCGCCCGGATCGCCTTGTTGAAGTACCAGGCCACGCGCATGACGCACGGCTGGCTGGTTTGCGTGGATGGGATGGGATGAGCTAATTTGGTTGCGATCGATTTGATATGAGTTGATGGTGTAATATGGTGTAATCATCGAAGTTGATAGTGGGACGAGTGGGTAGGCTGGGGTGAGAGATGGGTGGACCCAACTTCCCTCCAAACAGGCAGGTGCAGTTCCTTGTCAATCGCCAGACGAAGAAGAAGTGAGGCTGAGACATTCGTGACATTAGCCTTAGTCCGAGTCCCTTGGTCAGTCAACCGCTGGTGGCTTCCCGTGTTGCGCACAGAAACCGGAGTTGGGGTGAAGAATTGGTCAGAAAGTGGCTGACCTGTGCTGCTGAACCTCAGCTTTGATTTCCCTTTGGCCTTAATTCCCTATGCGGTTCCCGCCTGGCCGCATGACCACTTTTTGCTGGTTTGAATGCTGCATTCGGGTAGGAAAGGATCTGCAAAAAGACGTCAATAACGGACAATATACAATAACTGCGTGATCACACGATGTGCCAAAGACGTACCTCATGAAACCCCCAATGTTATCAATGTGATTTGCTCAACAAACAGTGGAAATGGCAAAGGCGTTTGATCAGACAATTACAAAGCAGCTTCCCTAGACTTGTTAGGGCCATTTGGCACCTTTGCGGAATCACAAGCACTAGACTTGTCGTTCATAGAATAGGTGTATAGGTGTGTCTCTTTTTCCCTCACATTCAACCCCCAAACTTCCTGGTCACCGGATAGGCCTGGTGTGGTCCTTTTCCTGTTAAGCTTCTTGGATGTTTTCGCCCCACAGGCCGCCCACCCAACCCCGACAAAAACCTCTTCACTTCGGGTGATTGAGGGCATAGGTATCAAGAAAAAGAAAACGAGCATCAACAACAATAAGTATTGTTTTAAAAATTAAAAAGCGAATCCAAAAAATAACATATTCCTTGATAGGCCTCTTCTGCTGCTCTCCTGGCCCTGTGGTTTGCGGGTCTTCTGGTAATAAGGTCCCTTGGTCCTTTGGTCCCTTGGTCCTTTGGTCCACTGGTCCTTTGGTCCCCTGGTCCCTTGGTCCTTTGGTCCACTGGTCCCCTAGTCCTCCGGTCTCCTGGTCCTCTGGTCCTGTCTCCTGGTCCGCTGGTCTCTTGCTCTCCTACTCCGCTCGTCTTTCGGTCTCCTGGTCCCCTGCTTGCGCAAATAGAGGCTTGATTGCTTTCTACTAGAGGCAGCTCCCTGGGAGGAAAGTAGGTACCCAATGATGGTAGCCGTCCAGTCATTGAGTAGCCCTACTCGAAAAATGGTTCACCAGTAGAAATAGCTCCCTACTAGGAATGAGCTCCTAAGGAGGTACACTCTCCTAGTCCCCTGCTCCTTCCATCCTCTTCCCTTGGTCTCCTAATCCTGCTACTGATACTGCTACTACTAGAGGAAAGGGCAGATCAGAATCTGAGGGTTCGGATCAACGACCAGGATCAGCGACCGGCGGATCAGCGACCACACCGGATCAGTGACCACAGTTCAGCGACCAAATTTCCGGGATCAGCGACCAGATTTCCAGGATCAGGGACCAGCGCCACACAGGATCAGCGACTGCGGATTAACGACCAGGAGAGGACCAGAGAGGAGAAGAAGAAGAGGACAAGAGGAGGATCAGAGGAGGACCAGAGAAGGACAAGCGGAGGAGAAGAGGAGGACGAGAGGATGACAAAGGAGAAGAAGAGGAGGATCGTTGCAACAGAGATGAGGGGTTAGATAACTTGACGGTAAGGGCGGCGCGTTGTCGGAAAGCCGGGACGTAGGGATTCAACAATGGTTCGGTGGGATTGACCATCGAATTCCCCATGGTGGGGACGCAGGGAGATTGATCCCTGTGCACTGTTGGAGAGCTCCGCGTACCGAAATCCCGGTGGACCGTCAGTGCTAGCCGTTCTTATCGACCAGTTTTCCAGGATCAGGGCCAAGCGCCACACAGGATCAGCGACTGCGGATGAACGACCACGAGAGGACCAGAGAGGACAAGAGGAGAAGAAGAAGAAGAAGAGGACAAGAGGAGGATCAGAGGAGGACCATGCAGAGAAGGACAAGCGGAGGAGAAGCAGAGGACAAGAGGATGACAAAGGAGAAGAAGAGGAGGATCGTTGCAACAGAGACGAGGGGTTAGATAACTTGACAGTAAGGGCGGTACGTTGTAGGAAAGCCGGGACGTAGGGATTCAACAATGGTTCGGTGGGATTGACCATCGAATTCCCCATGGTGGGGACGCAGGGAGATTGATCCCTGTGCATTGTTGGAGAGCTCCGCGTACCGAAATTGCGGTGGACCGTCAGCGCTAGCCGTTCTTGTCGTTGCCACCCCAAGACAGACAGAGGAGAAAAGAAGGACAAGACAAGGAGGACAAGAGGAGGTAAATTTGCTACGCAAGGGAGAAGCCCATGCGTAGTGTGCCTCGCTCGAAACCGAACAATTAATTCAACGTAGCGCAACCCTGGAAGCATAGCATGGCTCGAACACCAGGAACACTTGGAATTAAAAACTCCTGGTCGTTGATCCGGACCCTCAGTGCACCCTTGTTGTTAATCCTTTAACGGACTTAGAAGCTTCCTTGGGAATCGTTTCACCTGTAGCAGCAAAAAGCTTACTAGCAACAAAGCTTAGCCAGAAGCCTATCTATGATTTTCTATTGCTATCTAGTACTACTACTACTACTACTACTACTACTACTACTACTACTACTACTAGAGAGCTGGCCGCTGTGGGAGTGCACTTTTTTCCATGAGTTGTAGCTTCATCTGGATCATCTGAACCTAATCATCTTTGCAAAATTTTCATCCACCTGAGGTCGTCGCCAAATATCATTGAATCATTTACTATATAAGGCTTCCAACTCAAAGCCTTCTATCTGCTGCTGAAATGCTGAAAATTACAATATAAACAAGCAATCTCTCTTGCATTGATAGGTTTGTGAAAGTTGTTCTTTTGTAAGCATTGATAGGCTTGTGAAAGTTGTTCTTTTGTAAGGTTTTGTTCTTTTTGGTGAATGATATCTTTTTAAAAGGGTTGTGAAATTTGTAAATTTCCTGCTCTATATGCAATTGGTAAACATATTTATTCATTCAATTATGAATTATAGAAATGATTAAACCCATAAGCTAGGTGTTTACCAAATAGTCACCATGCAAAATCATATTTCTTTCTTTTAGAGTGGGAATTGTATTGCTCTTATTAAATGCAGTTGGGTAAATACATCAGAATTAGAAGGCAAATAGTTATAAATCCTAAATAGCTAAATTCTAATTTAATTCCTATTCAACTCAAATTCAAATCTATATGTAAATTCAGGATCAATTCTATTTCAATTATATTTCAATTCTATTTTGCTTCAAATTTCCTTCATTGGGATTCAATGCAAGACAAATTATAATTCGATTTTGCCTTTAATTTCATTATTATATACTTCAGATTCAATTCTAATATTTCATTCGTGTTGAATTAAAATTTGGATTTTATGAAAGTCGCATTTATTTCTAGGGAATTGATCTTGCTTTGAACATAAAAGATTTTTATGAAATTTTTCCAATATGGAAGTATATTCTTTCTTTAATGAAATATATTCATATCACCAATAATATTCATTCTCTAGAATGGAAGCAAAACTCAAGTAGAATTCCATTTGCATTGAATTGGAATCAAATAAGAAAATTAGATATATAGATCAATTGAGTTTAACATTAGAAATCATTAATAAATCAATTGGAAATTGGAATAGACAAAATTAATGTTTTTAATGCAACACATAATGAAATAGAATTAAAAAAGAAATAGATTGAAATTAAATTAGAACTAAATAAATAGTATTAAATCAAAATCCATTATTCAAATTGAAATTTACCTAGACCCAAGGTAGAATTGAATTAAAAATATTTAACCTAGGAATTAAAAATAATAGAGCAATATTGCAATATTGATATAGAATTAGGTTACAAATAATTCAATTTAATGAAAATTGCAAATTCAATTTGAATTCCAATAAATAGAATGCAAATATATTCTATTTAGAATTAAATTGGAAAAATATTGCAAATTCACATATAAATTCAATTTTGAATTTAATATTAGATCCAGAATAATCAAAGATAATTACAATTACAACAAAATTAAATTAGAATAAAATTGAATTACAATTTGATTATAATGAATTTTAAAAATACATAAACTTAATTTAGAATTTAATTAGGTTCAAACTAGAACTAAAAAAGAAGCCTATTACATATTCAAAACAAATTCAATTTAAAATTAATTACATCCAATTAAATTCTCAATAAAACTAGAAAGGAAACAAATTCAATTAGAATAAATATTGGTTTAGAATTTAGTTAAATTGTATTTAAGTTAAAATTCATAGAATAAAATCTCAATTGAGTTAATAACTATTTAGAAATGAATAAGAAATAGTGTTTATTTTTTTAGCAGACCAGCCAAAAAAATTAGACCCATGGAGAGGGACCCAGGAGAGATTGGGCAGGAGACATAGGTCCAACAAGTTCAGACTCATGGAGGGGGACCCACAAAAGGCTAGACAGGAGACACGAGTCTGATTTATATATTTCGGTTTGCCATGGTCTTGTAGGTTGGCTAGGTCGGCAAAGCAAGTTTCGTGCTGCCTATGTTATGCTCAAGCATACAGGCAGCACACAGTGGCTGCCATGGCGCGAGTTACTTTCCGAATCAAAGGCTATCGATCTGAGTGAACGTGGCCGCAAACGGCAACGCATCGAAGGCCTCTTGGTTTTCGATACGGCATTGGAAGTCGAGGATTCCGATGTCTCCGCAGCCCCGTGGGCCTTAGCTACCATGTTTGAAGTTCGGCGAAATGCGTTCGCCCTTGCCCAGGTATGTCACCTGGCAGCAATGAAGTCTTATGACCAGGCTTTCATGAAACTCTACACCGCCAAACCGTCCGATGGTCTTCGCCCCCCCAACATGAAGGAAGCCCAGCAAGCAGACAGGGACCTTTG